CATTTCCGATCAAGTCCCTTTCTCGCACATGTACGACCACTCTTTGCCCCACAGCCGGCTGGCCACCGGTGACGTGGAAGGGGAGTGGCATACACGTGCCCCTATCGGTCCTAGCCGCTTGAGCCCCTACTCGCGGCTCTTCCCGGCTACGTTTTTGACCCGCTTGCAAGCTTGACTAGTTGGCGAGTCCCCCCCCCATTTTGCTATATTTTTATTTTTATTTCTTGTTCTTCATTTATCTCAAAAGTTAGATTATAAAAATCATATAAATTCATATAAAATCACATAATTACCCAAAAATTTACATTAATCAACTGAAAACCATTTTTCACATTTTAACACAAATATAAGTCTATTTATCATGAGTTAAGGCTAAAACTATATTATTTATTAATTATTAACTCATGATAATGAAGACTTATCACCTCCCTTTTGGTGGTGACAATGCCGGCAACGATCGTCGATCTCCTCTCTTGGTGTAGCAAGAAGAGGATCAATTGAAGATACCCCTATGTGAGGCCACCGTTCTCTCCCCACGTCTGTCTGAACAAGACGAAGAAATCATTTTCATTTTGTTCCTTTGACTTCTATGTAATTGAACCTCTTTTATCCTAATTAATGCAATCTAAATTTTGTGAAGTTCTATTCCTCTTTGCCTCATCGATTTTGAATAGTTGATGTCGTTGAAGGAACTAGGGAATTATCCCTGTAGGTCATCTGTAATTTATTTACAAGGTGGCTGGTTGAACCTTGAGAGAAATTTCTCTCAACATGCATTGAATTTCTCTATTCGTGACTACTGAATTTCAGAGAGTAAACAAATCAAAATGTGATCATTAATTAATATACATCAACTAACTCAAAACTTTCTTTGTGTTTAACTTGGTTTTCTACTAATTCATCAAGAGATTGTTCCTATGAAAATTAATTTATAAATTTAAAATTGGTGATCTTAAATAATAGTGACTTAAGAGTGATTACTAACCCTTGTTTGTTGCCCACTTTCATGAGAGATAGTAAAATAAGTATGTGAATACCTTTATAAAGTGATATCATAAGGATATATCCTTCTGATAAATAGGAGTATTTTAGGTATTAAATTATTAAAACCTTCTAAGAGGCTGTGACTGTTGGTTTAGTCCCACATCAGTTATATGTCAAGTTTTGAGGCAAATATATAGTAACACCAAATTTGGTAGTCAATGTATCTCTTTCTCACATGTGTATAATCATTCCATGCCCCACACTCAATTGGTCACTAGTGACGTGGAAGGGGAGTGACGCATTTAGTTGGCAGGGTTCCTCATTTTTTCAATTTTTTATTTTATTTTATTTCCCTTCATTTATCTCAAAAATATAATTCTATAAATTCTATAAATTCACATAAAATTATATAATTAGCCAAAAATTAATGTTAATTAATTAAATACTAATTTTTACAATTTAACACAAATATAAGTCTATTTATCATAAGTTAATGCTAAAACTATATTATTAATTATTAACTCATGATAATGAAGACTTATCAATACCCTTCTCACTATTTAAACAATACTTTTTTGTATATTTACATGAGAGAGATTAGGCTTCTTGTTGGGGTTTATATCCTTTGATCTACACTAACATTCATTTACAGATTATAACTTATTCTATATTATCTTCTTGTGCTTCATTTACCCTATTTAGTAATAACATAGAAGGGCTCATCTCAAGAAGTCCATTTGTATAGTCATAATGGTTTAAATTTTAGAAGTAAATCAACAAATGAAACATTTTGGTATCATCAAGGTTTTCTTGACTTGAAATCTTTTACTTGACTTATCCAACCCATCAACATAGTGTTAAAAAAGTTTTAAAATCATTTGCATCACAAGTAATGTCATCTAAGATGCATATTTATGTGTAATTCCATTGCTCAATGAACTGATGTATCTCTATATACATATATAGTTTTTGCACTCAATATCTATTGTCTATCTCTTTGAGGACATGAACCATAAATATAATTCTTTACATATAATAATGAGTGCAAAAAAGATTTGAAATCTTTGCTTGAAGACTACATTTTAAATCCAAACAACCTGAAGATTCATTTAACTTGGAGTTACTTAAAATATTTGATACATTTCATTGAGTCACTTTGAGCACATAGAAAAAAGGTTCCATGTCATTGATGCAGCCAATACAACCTGAAGATTCATTTAAGTTGAAGCTAGCCCAATTATGAAATGGATCCCATAGCAAGACATGTTTCTAGATATGTCAATATTTAGATTTTTCCTTTCACATTTTTATTTTTATCTATTTCTATTTATATCCCGTAATCTATTTTTAGTACTTTCTATTTTGTATCCCCCATTTTATTTTCAACTTTTTCTATTTTTATTATCTTACTATTTCTTTTCCCTTCTATTTTTGATCCCCCTTCTATTCTTAGTCTTCTTATTATCCCAAGGGAGATTCTAGTTTTCAATCAATAAATTTTGTGAGTTTCTTCCTTTTTAAGGTCCTCTTCATCTGCTGGTAGGATCCATCTCCCCTATGGATTTGGGGAACTCATCTCCTTGATTTTGTGGACTCAAAATCACATCTTTGTGGATTCAAGGGACATGTAGATTCAGTACAAGAGAACCATGACATAAGTCTGTCTTTTGAGGATTCAAGATGTGATTTCAGTCTCCACAATATTGTTAGTCATACCCAATAGTAATACACTACTGAGCATAAGAGAGATTTGACATTTATACTTGAAGATTGTGTAGTTAAATATTAGATATATGTCATTGAGTGCAAATCTACATTCCTCTAAAAATCAATGCATTGTGATTTAGAGGGATCATAAGAGGAGGTGAACCATAAATAGAATTTAATAAGAGATTCAAATCATTTAGTTAGTTCATATTATAAAAACGATCAACCTTGTTGGGACTTCATACAATATAGACCCAAGAGGCAAAGAGATAGTGAACAAGGGGAGGGGAAAGATTAGCATAATGGTGTCTATGAAAGTCCTTTTTTTTGCACTTTATTTGGTGGTACTGTCCTCTTATGCGGCTATTGCTAGTGGGGTTGCATCCTTTGAGGAGTATCATTCCTATCAATTCATTATCACTACAAATGACAAGTCTTCTCCAACCAGCATGGCCATGTTCAAACGCTCAAGTATATGACTGCATGTTAATGCCATTTTTTCTCATTGAGTTGAAATAATGACTCACATTTTTCAATTTTTCAACATCAGAATTACCTCAATTCAGTTCCCTAGAAATTTTAAATTAACTTGTCTATATAATTTTTTGATTGCAAATGACTCTAGAAGTGAATTTGAATGTTGTATATGCCAATTTGGTGCTCATAGGATTTGCCATGGAACTTGCTGCCCTCCTACTACTCCTCTTTCATGATATTGGAAAACTAAGCCAAATGAGAGTCATTTCTCACAGTTTGTTTTGGAATTTGGAAGGATGTAAGGTACTGCACCACAACTTCTAATGAAATAACTTCCAATCTCAACTATGATATCTATGATTTGACATATCGTTATAAGAATTTCAGCTCTCAACTAAACTCCTATAAATCGTGGATGATGCTGCAAATTTAGGCCTAGTCTTCCATTTGGGTCAATTATGTATACATATAGAAACATCTTGAATGTGCCCATGTGCAAAAGTGAATAAGTGAGAGAGAGGCCTACTACATTAGAGATGTACAAGATAACCTTGTGACATTGTGTGTTTGTCAATGTTCTCTTGCAAATACACCATTTTAAGGAGTAGATTATCTACATAATCTACTAATATACAAAAAATATAAGTTTATTTTCTTTGCACCCCAAATCTTTTTTTCATTATGTTTGAATTTCATGATTTTCTTTGATAAATTGTGAAACTTCAATTTTGACCGATCACTTTGGTTTTTGAAATCATAAGTTAATATAGTGGTAAGAGCTTCCTCTTCAACCAACATTCTGCCATTGATTACAAGGCCCCTCCTTTAGGCCCATGCTTAGTCATTCCCAAGTCAAGAAAGCCCAAAACACCTTGGGCACTTTCAAGATAAAAGTATATATTAAAAAAATGGTAAACCCATGTACTCGTACTACGTAATAATAAGTTTCCTCGGCTCAATAGTAAAACATCGAGTTATATGTGACACTCAAGGAGTAAAATTTGTGATACAAAGTTAATTCAAACAACATGTGATAGAGAAAATTAAAATAACAAATAAATAATGAAGACACAATCTATGGTCTAAATGTGCTTATCTTGGCATTGGTCTCTAAAAGTGATGTTGATAGTTTCTCAATTTTGTCCTTCACCCATGGATTGATCCTCTCTCTCTCTCTCTCCCTCCTCCCTCCTCCCTCTCACTAGAGCCATTGTTGGATATGATTAGGAACCTATTTTCATTCGCATTTTTAAAATCACACACGGCCCTACTCCAAGTTCAAGCTTAATTCAATCTTCTCAAGTGACTACCAATTAGTGAGTGCGTGTTGGTGGGTTTGTGTGTCTAAGAGATAGAGAGCGAGAGGGATCAGATTTCCCCATGAGAAGGAAAAAGGACTCCAAAAAATATTAGACGCATTCTTCTCTTGGGTTGGATTAGACTGCTCTATAGTCCAATTTATTTTTAAAATGATTTTTTTATTTAATATTTAATATTTTGAAATTGATCTTATCAAAACACTTCTTCATATAACTTATCTTTAATATTTTTTATCTTGAAGGCAAATAAATAATTATTTTAAATCAAAATTAATTTAAACTATTTATTTGATTACTGAATTATATAGAAACTCAATGGCAGAAAGGTCGTGAGTGGACCGCTAAGTCCTCTACTCGTTCTGGAAACCCTAAACCCTTCTTGCTCCGCATTCTCGTACTCAGAGCCACCTCGCATTCTCTGGTTTCTCCGGCGAGTTTTCGGCAATCCCTCTCCTCCTCCCCCCTTGATATGCTCCAGGTTGTGATCTGTGGAGGAGAGGAGAGGGGGGATCGATGTTGCTGCGAGGTACCCTCTCCTGCCCCTGGGCTCGCATAACCGTCGGCGACGGGAGGAAATCCTTCATCCATGGACGCTCCGTAGGGTGCATCACGGTTCGTCCCCAATCCTCGCCGCGTCTCTTCTCCGCTGGCGCCACTAGGGTGGAGGCGGCAGTGCCGCCCTCCATGGTGGGATTTCTCGTCAGCTCCTGCGGCCTGTCGCCAGACGAGGCCACGAGGGCTTCCAAGCGCCTCCCCAGCGTCAGATCCCCTTCGAATCCCGACGCGGTCCTCACCTTCCTGAAGCTCAAAGGGTTCGACGAGGAGCAGATAAAAAAGATCGTCTGCTCGAGGCCCCAGCTCCTCTGCGCCGACGTGGAGAGGACATTGGAGCCCAAATTTAGAGTTCTGGAGGAGATCGGATTCCGCGGCCCCAGCCTCTTCGACGTGATCAAGCAGAACAATCGCTTCCTCTGCTGCAGCCAGGACAAGGTTATCCTCCCCAATATCTCCCTCCTGATGAGGGACTGCGGCATCAGCGGGGCGAGGATCCTTAAGATCCTGAAGCGGAGCTCCTGGGTGGTGAGCAGGAGCACGGGCTCCCTCCAGGAGCTCATCGTCCGGGTGGAGGAGCTGGGATTCAATCGGGACTCCCGTATGTTCGAGTACGCCCTCTGCGCTCTCAGCAAGTACAAGCGGAGCACGGTTGCCTCCAAGCTAGAGAGATTCGCCAGATTCGGTTGGACGGACGAGGAAATCCTCAGAGCCATGAGGCTGGCACCCGTCCTCCTCACTCTCTCCGACAACAAGCTGAAGAAATCCATGGAGTTCCTAATGGGCGTGGCGGGCCTGAAGCCGGCCTGCATCGCCTCCTACCCTGTCATGCTGATGTTCAGCTTGGAGAAGAGGGTCATGCCCAGGTACCGAGTCATGGAGCTACTGAAATCCAAAGGGCTCCCCGGGGGGAAGCTTGACTACGCCAGCGCTCTACGCCTTTCGGAGGCCAGGTTCTTGACCAAGTTCGTCTTCCCTCACGTCGAGGCGCATCCGGAGCTCGAGGAAGTGTATGGTCCTGCTGCGCCGCCAAAGGAAACGCCGGACACCATCGCCGGCTGAAGATCTCGGATGGTGGGGACCACAGTGGTGGATCGATCTGGGTACGACTGGCCCTCATTCTTCTTCGTAGACAGTGCCCAGACAATCCGGAGAAGAACAAGTTTTCCCGAGGAAACTCTTCTTCCTCGATCATTTATCAATCCATAAGCCCGCGAAGCTCGGACTCCATACCTTTGGAAGAACTCAGACTGAAAATTTTCCATGCCAATTTGGCCTGAGCAGCCAGCCCATCCCCGAAGAACAGCAACAGATTCCACTAGGAGAATGGTCCTGGTCGTCTGTGTATTTCATTTCATTTCCTCGATTAGTCCCTCATCTCTCTCTCTCTTCCGACATCATTATTTGGCGCGTCTTTAGTGAATGAACGCCTGAAACTTTGATCATTGCGGGGACCATGTGGCCTTCTTTCATGGACACCCTCTCAAAGATTCAGTCGATAATCAGGCATTTAGTGAAGGGACGATCAGTAGAAGCTCGGAGTTTTGACCAAGGTCGGCCCCACCGGGCAGTTGGGGGGGGGGAGTGGAGGGGGGGATGTTGACGTTTTGGGCCGGGCCTAACCCGAAAAGGGGCCAATTTGTTTTGGATTTCAAAATATTCAGTTTGTTTTTAAAAAATATCTGTATTGATAGTGCTTCGGATTTGCTTGTATCAGGTAAGGTCCGGTCTACCGAACCAGGTGGGTCCCCGTTCTCCGAAGGCGTAACCCGCCCTACTGAAGAGGCGCCGCAGCCCTCCGCCGCCGCCGCCTCTTCCGCGGGCGCCTCCGCTGGATCTTCCTCTAGTTTTGGGAGCTTCGGAGTTGGAACGAGAGGAGGATGCGGTTCGGTGGTTTCCTCTCCGGCCTCGTCTGCGGGAGCAGCAGCGGCGGCTGCAAGGGGATCCTCCTCCATTTTCCCGCCCTCCGGGATCGCGCTCTCGGGTTATTTCCCCTCTCGCGTTCGATGCCGTTCCTCCGCGTCGCGCTCTTCTCCGCCGCCGCTTCCTCGGCGGCGCTTCCACGGGGGCCATCCCCGCCGTCGTCTCCGCTGGAGGCGGTCTCCGTTGTCGATTACCTGATCGACTCATTTGGATTCTCCCAGGAGGAAGCGGCCAGGGTTTCCAGGCGCCTCAATCGTTTGAAGGCCCCTCGGAATCCCGAATCTGTCCTAGCGTTCCTTAAGGGGAAGGGAGTGAGCGAGGCGGCGGTGAGAGAAGCCGTGTCCCGCCGGCCGACGCTGCTCTACGTGGACGTGGAGAAGACCCTGGCTCCCAAGTTCAGAGCCTTCGAGGAGATGGGTTTTTCTGGCACGGATCTGCTGAGGACGCTCGGGCGGAACAGCAGCTTCCTCCATTACAGCCTCGAGAAGAAGCTGATGCCCAACATCTCTCTCCTACAGAGAGAATGCGGGATCTCCGGCCGGAGGATCTTCAAGGTCCTGAAGAGGAGCTCCCGGCTGGTCGGCCGCAGCACGAGCTCGCTCAAGGACCTCATACGGCGCGTCAGAGAATTAGGGTTCTCCCATGGGTCGGTGGCGTTCGAAACGGGCCTCCACGTCGCTGACTCCCTCAGCCAGAGCTCAGTGACCGAGAAGCTGGCATTCCTGCAGAGCTTGGGCTGGACGGAGGAAGAGACCCTGCGGGCAGTCCGCCGATATCCTCTGATTCTGGGACTATCGGAGAAGAAGCTCAAGGATTCGATGCAGTTCTTCGTGGGGAAAATCGGATGCGACGCATCGTACCTGGCGGCCAACGCGATCCTGCTCACATTTAGCATCGAGAAGAGGGTCAAGCCACGCTACCGAGTCTACCAGACTCTCCAGCTGATGAAGGTTCCCGAGGGGGGATGGAGCCTGCTCTCCCTCTTCTCCGTCTCCGAGAGCGTCTTCCTGAACAGGTTCGTCCTCAAGTACGTGGACAGGCACCCTGAACTGAGGGAAGCTTACGACAGTGCAGGGTTTGGAACCAAGCTTCATGTATCCCTTGGATGATCAGGAAACTTTATAGAGGAAAAATCTGGATGACGATAGAGACCGGCCGATCAGCTCCGTAGGCTCTAGCAGTTGGGCTGCAGGTTTTGGCGTTAGAAATTGCAACTTCACACCGGTAATTGCCTAAAGTTTTAATATTCTTTGCAGCCTCAATGTTCCCTTGAAATCCACAGAACTCTCTCTTTCTCTCTCTCTCTCGTTGGGTGTACTCTATAGCCCTATTTCCTTTTCGGTGACCTCCCTATCCAATTCGGCCAACAATATCCCATCTGACTCAACCGAGGGCGATTCATGCGGCAAAAAATGCAGAAATTATAGGAATCTGGCTCTGAATCTGCAAGATACTATTTTCCCTATCCTTGAATCCTCATAGTTATGGTTTATTCCTATTAAGTTAACATCTAATTGAATAAACATTTTAAATTGAAAGAATAAATAAAAATATTAGTCCATAGATAAAGTAAAGAAAATTTGTGTAATTTTTTTTGAGAATTCTTTTGAGTCAAAAGGTTTGAGACCTAAATCAACTATGAGGATTTTTATATAATAGATGACCTTTTAGGAGTGGGATATCTAATGAACATCAAAAGAATATGAGAAATCAAAAGGTTGAAGTACTATTACTATGGATTAGAGAAAATTGAGTGATAGGAAATTTAGACCCCCTACTTTATGTCAGCCAATCCTACTTAGTGTATGAATTCACATTGATTAGAATTTTCCTCTTTGAAAATAGTGAAAGGATATTGAATCTTAAGTATAGAATGATATTCATACATTTCCTATTCACTATACCTTATTTAGTCTCTATATCTTATCTAAACATACTATTTTATTCCTTTATTTGACCCAAATTTATCTTTTCAATTTCCACAATTAGGTCACCCTCTTTCTATTCATTTTTCTTACCCACACATGATGGTTGTTACCCTAAATAGTACTTATTTTTAACTTATGTCATTTATTTCTCTTCCTACTCATCTTTCTCAATATTTTTTCATCTTCTTCTAAGTTGTATATGCTTGAGTTAATATTTTCGTTCATCAAAAAAAAAAAATGAGGAGAATAGAGGAAAGAAAAAATCATAGAAGAAAAAAGATCATTGGGGAATTCTTTTATCTACTTATTCCATATTCTCAAGTGACACTATGTAATTTTCTTTTATCTAAGCATCTTGATTTGAAAGCAAAACTGTCATGAGTGGAACTTAGCCATTGATTACATAACCTATCATTGTCACTATATTAAACTATACCCTCAACCTATGGCCTACCTTATTAGTGTATTATCTTTCTATTGCCTTTATTCATCTCATCTTTCTTGTATCTCATTTTTTTATCCACTTTAATTCTATACCACAAAGAAGAGATGTCTTTGCACTAATTTTTTTAAAGGGAAGGAAGGTTAAAAAGGATTCCTAAACATCAAGTAGCCACCATATACGAGAGAGAAAGATGTCCATTTAGAGAGGTGTTAAAGCTAGATTTATGTATTTTAATTATTTTTATTATTTGATTTTATTTTGTTAACTTGCAAATAAATATAAGATATATTGTTAATTTTAAAAGTCTGAAGTTAAAATACGTAGCGTAATTTTTTATTATTAAAATAAAAATATTAAAATATATATAAAAAATCTTCCACCTACTAGTGAGCCGGCACTCGACAATTAACCCAAAGGGAGGACAGCAATCGAGCAAGTAGACCCAAATTGGGGGAGCCACAAGCTGGGCTCAAGTGGCGAAGGCCTCACTCCACACACGTGTGCATCACTCCCCTTCCACGTCCTAGTGGTCAACCAATTGTGGGGCAAGGAGCGCCTGTACATACATGCACGCATGAGAGTGGACCACCTTATTGACTTCTCCCGAGATGGTCCTGGGTATTATTTTATTTCAAGAGAAAGGATCTCTACTAAGAGAGAAGCTTTAGTTTACATTCGGCACATGCGTTCGATACACTTTCAATGTGAGACTAAATATTTTTGTCTATTTCAATACAGTCATTTGGATTACAATGTGATCTAGTGGTACTCAAAGAGCCACATCATCAGATTAGCTAGATCTTGTAGCTAGCCTCAAAGAGCCACAACGCAAGATGACATCAGCACCCAACGAATATGAATTGGGTACAAAAAGTTATGCTAAGTGATTCTTACATAAGTGATTACATACGATTTAATTGATCAAATTAAGATCTGTAAAAACCAGAAGAATGACTTGATAAATTTAAATCACATAAATTATTACTAAATAAAGTAAAAACTAAGTTAAAAGTAAGAAAGATAGAGTTCTAGCCTTGCAGTAGTGATCGTCAAAATTTTGTGTGTTAAGGAGGGTCATTAAACAATATCCACAACCTCAAAAGCTCTCTTTAGATAAGGATGACTTAGGCATTCGTTGGATCTCCTTTTGATATCTAGAAAATGATGGTGAAAGTTAGACTAATTAAAAAGTGGTAAAATAGAGTTTTAATATCATGGTAGCGATGTGACAACGATGCCCCAAAATCCTGAGTGTTCAGGAGTATTGTCGTATAGTGTCTACGGCCTCAAAGGTTATCTTTAAACAACGACAACATGAATAATCTATAAATCTTCTTGCGAAGTCTAAAGATCAATGAAATAAGTCACCAAATCGTCTCTGATGGCTATCACTCGGCGAAGTGGAAAAATGGTGACTTTACAACTCTCCTGCGACTGTCACCCGATAGAGAAGAGTTAAATGGAGGTGGGGTAGGTATCAAAGAGACTATTATAACTAAGGGTATTTTAGGTATTAAAATAAACAAAATCATTCTGGGGTAAGTGTGATGTAAGTTTAGTCCCACATTAGTTATACGCTGAAGTTTTGAGCAAATATATACTAATATCATATTTTCAAGTAATTAATCACTTTCTCCTATGTGTACAACCACTCTTTGCCTCATAGTCGACTAGCCACTAGTGATGTGGAAGGAGAGTGACACACACATGCCCCCATCGGTCCATAGCCGCTCAAGTCCTTACTCGTGCCTCCCCCTGACTATGCTTTCAACTTACTTGCAGACTCATCAGGTCCCTCCTTTTTCTTTTCTTTTTTCTTTTTCTTTATTTATCTCAAAAATAAGACTATAAAAATCATATAAATTCGTATAAAATCACATAACTAACTAAAAATTCACATTAATCAACTAAAAATCAATTTTCACAATTTAACACAAAGATAAGTATATTTATCATGAATTAAAATTAAAAATATATTATTTACTAATCATTAAGTCATGATAATAAAGATTTATTAAAAGTAATGAGTCTATTTCTCATGTGTACAATCACTCATTGCCTCACAACTAATTGACCACTAATGACGTGAAAGAGGACTAGCTCACACGTGTCTTCATCAGTCCATAGGCACTCGAACTCTACTCACGACTCCCCCTGACCACACTTGCAGGCTCATTTAGCCGACGAGTCCTTCCTTTTTTTTTCTTTTTTTTCTCTTTATTTATCTCAAAAATAGGACTATAAAAATCATATAAATTCATATAAAATTACATAATAGTCACAAAATTTATATTAATCAACTAAAAATCACTTTTTACAATTTAACACAAATATAAGTCTATTTATTATGAGTTGAAGATAAAATTATATTATTTATTAATTATTAACTCATGATAATAAAGACTTATCACACCTCTCAACTTAAATTATTATTAATCATTTAACAATGAAATTATGAGAGTAAAAATTCACAAATCTCAAAACATCATATTTTAATACAAAAAAATATATAATTAAAAATGATGTACCTTTAGACACTTTGAATTCTTATATTCAGTATTTAAGAATAATGTCAAGCACTTAAATATTTAAGCACTCCTTAGAATAATAATCTAGACTTCACTTCTTTTATTCACATCTTCATCACTTCTTCACTCATATATATAATTCACAAGATATTTTAATTATCAATACTTATCTAAAAATAATATTCAACCTACATTTTTCTTTTTTTTCATGGCTTGATTTTTGAAGTTTATACTATATTACTTCTTCTTTTTTTCTATAGTAGATAGGTGTTAAAATTAAATTTATTTATTTTAATTAGTTTAAAAAATTATTTTATTTTATTTTGTTAACTTGTAGAATAAATATAAGATATATTATTAATTTTAAAACCAATGTGAGACTAAATTGACGATCACACCTTCCCTAGAATGATTTTATGACTTTAATATCAAAAATACTTCTTACTTATAACAACGAGATATCATGATGATGTCACTATATAAGGATATTCAAAAACTTATTCCTTGTCTCTCGTGTAGGCGAGCAACCAGCATGAGTTCAAATCTTAATAGAGCCAAAACTCATATTTTTATCTGATTAAATCATAGTTTTCTTATAGATCATCGGTGAAAGATTAAGCTATAAGAATCACTTAATTATCGTGAAAATCTCGTCAACACGATTTGTTACTAAATTGTTAAACAATTTGTGATAAAAGGATCACAAATCTATTGAGTAAATTATCTCCAATTGATCAACGAACAAGTCATCATCAAAAAAAGTACGACTAATAAATCTTTATTATCATAAGTTAATAATTAATAAATAATAAATAATAAGTTGTGAAAAAAATCATGATAAATCATAATTAATGTGTTAAATTATGTTAATGATAAATAGACTTATAATTGTGTTAAATTATGAAAAGTGGTTTTCACTTGATTAATGTGATTTTTGGCTAATTACGTGATTTTATGTGAATTTATATGATTTTATAATCTTATTTTTGAGATAATAATGAAAAATAAATAAAATAAAAAGATAAAAAAAGAGAAGGACTAATGAACTCGAATTAGAGGTTAAATATTTCACCATGATGTAACCAAGTTCATGCAAATGATATTTATAAAATCTCACTCTTCTATTTAGGATAAGTAAGGGTCGATCCTCAAAAAAAGTGGGTAATGAGAGTAAGAATTCTACCTATTTTATTTCTTATATATATATATACTTGCAATTGTGAACGACGTAACTAAATGTAAAAAAGGTGAAGACAAGAGTTATAAAAATATGGCAAAAAAAGAGAGAATAGATCTAACACAATAGAATGATAAAATAAATAATAAAATTAATTCGAATTAAAAATTAATCTATCCATAGAGAGGATTACAAGGATACCACAAATATAAATCTTGCACAAACTTTGTTGTATGCGAGTCTTAGGCCGAGTGATGTTTGATATGTGACAATCTTGATGTGCTCCAAGTAATCTCTTATCTATGATGATCTTTAGTATGAAAATATTTTTGATCAGACCTTGATTTCCCTCATGTTTCTTTCAAAAGAGGGGGGCGAGATGCCTTAATCCTCTCAAGAGTTAGGCACCTCCAATGGACAATTATGATTAATAACTGACTCTCTTGAGAGATGGCCCAAATCATGTCATAAGAACAATGCTCTAATCTTTCTCTTAATCTCATCTTAAGGCACCCTAAGATGGGTGGCCTAGATCTTATATCTTGATAGCCCTTTTAAGTCTAAATGGACTAGGCCAAGGTGACTCCCTCTCTTAGGTCCATAAACATATTAGGCCAGCCCTCTCCATATGACTTAGACTTTTCATTGAGTTGAAGGCTTAGGCTTTTTCCTTTACTTCCAACTCATAATAAAAGTTCACCTAAGTCATTACAATCAAATAATTATCAAGAAAATGTAAGAGACTCACCACTTGACTTCGTAAAAGTCAAGTGAGTTTGTAAAGGTTTGATCTTCCGCTGAAGTTCAACATTCTACCTTCAGACAAGTCAAAATCTATTTCAACCGCTCTTAAAACTCAGATCAGTTAAGAAAAAAAACCTAATAAAATTGAAAAGTTTTAAACCATATAAATCCAATACCTTTTACATGAAAATTTGGGCCTAACTATTTGAAAATGGCGGTCAAAGTTATTTTTGGCATTCAAACATTAGCAATCCATATTTTTACATTTTCGGTTAATTTGAGTAAAAAACCGTCCTATTTCTCGTTTTCTGAAGTGGTGTTCTTAATCAACAATGAGACCAAAGTAGGCAGATCCGTTTGATCCGTCAAGTCCATTTAACTGGAGATTGATATCAACGGATCAATTGGTCCAGTGGCAGTCAAAACCCGGTTTAGGCTGAATGGGCCAGGATCGGACCCATTTTAGGCCCGTTAGGTCGCAATCAGTTGGGATGGCGAGGGTTGGGGGGGTCATCATGGAAGAGAGTCTGCATCTGTCTGCAGTCCACAGCACGGAGATGGGGAGAGGCTGATCCTGTTGAACTGCCGCTGGAGGACGGCTAGGGGGCCTGAGAATGATCCCACCGCCATCGATCTCCCTCGCCCTCCGTCTCCCCGCCGTGTCCCCCTTTACCTCTTCGCCGCCCCCCAAATTCCCTTCCTCTTCGTCCTCGTCTTCTTGCTTATTTGGGTTGAGCCTGAGGACGGGACATGGACCACCCGGGAGGCGTCTGGATAAGCCGGGCGTAGCTGTGACCTGCGTCTCCTCGGGGCCGGCGAGGAAGGGACCAGGCCGGAGGAGCGACGGCGGCCTGTCGGAGGCGCAGGAGCTCGTCCGCTCTCTGCTGAGGAAGACCAGCGAGGGGAAGCAGCCTCTGGTGCCCACCCTGAACAGGTTCGTGAGCGTTTTGAGAACGGAGCATTGCTTCCTCATGTTCGAGGAGCTGGGCAAGAAAGACCGGTGGCTGCAGTGCCTTGAGGTTTGTCTCCTCCCCGAACCTTACTATTTCGTCTCCCCCTCGGATAATACTCTTCTTGAGAAACCCCTTATCCGAATTGTGGCACCATATGGGATTTTGATTTTTTTTATTGTATTATTTTGTGAAAAATTAGTTGCCATTCTTTGGTGAACGATGTGGGGAAAACTCCATGTCGCAATACAATCTCTCTCAATGAATAATCGATGATCTCGGTCAAACTGTTGAAGCCTCTGCCTGAGACTGTGGGAAGTCCCCAAGATGGAATAAATACTGATTTTTTATAATTTTCTTCGAGTTTCGCCAATTTGTGATGAACTGTAGAACCCATTTATGTGAGGGATTTGGAATTTACCATCATATGAAAATCAGAATCGGTAGAACAGGAAGCAAGAACAAGATGAGAACATCAGCAGATTATCAAAAATAATTGATAGCAGATTATTCGGATCCAGCTTCTCCCTTGATATTTCTTGGGCACCATCCCTAATCTTCACTCCGTTTATTCTTGAACTTCTCCTTGAGGTGATAGACTCTGGAAAAATTAATCTTTTTTTTCACCTTTCCCCAAGAACTACACCCTTTTAGAATTTGGCATTACATCAGGAGAACCTTGGGATATCTGATCTCGAAACTGGAGGAGAGAGGGGAAGAAGAAGAAGAACGCCATGCAAGTTCCTTCCTTCCTTTCAGATTTTTGGCTGGGTTTGGGCTGGGCAGGTGTTCAGGTGGATGCAGAAGCAACGGTGGTATGTGGCGGACAACGGGATCTACTCGAAGCTGATATCGGTAATGGGGAAGCGGGGGCAGACGAGAACGGCGATGTGGCTCTTCTCGGAGATGAGGAACAGCGGCTGCCGGCCGGACACCTCCGTTTACAACGCCCTCATCGCCGCCCACCTACGGCAGCGGGACCGGGCCAAGGCCCTAGCCAAGGCCTGGGGCTACTTTGAGAAGATGAAGGCCATGGAGCGGTGCCAGCCGAACGTCGTCACCTACAACATCCTCCTGCGGGCGTACGCGCAGGCCGGGGACACCCAGCGGGTGGAGGCGCTCTTCCGGGAGCTGGATGAGGGAGGCGGCGCCGTCGCCGCCGACGGGTACACCTTCAACGGGGTGATGGATGCGTACGGGAAGAGCGGAATGCTGAGGGAGATGGAGGCGGTGCTCCGGCGGATGAAGAGCAGCCGGTGCCGCCCAGACGCCATCACGTTCAACCTCCTCATCGACGCGTACGGCAAGAACCAGGCGTTCGACAAGATGGAGCAGGTGTTCCGGAGCCTGCTGCGGTCCAAGGAGAGGCCCACCCTCCCTACCTTCAACTCCATGATCCTCAACTACGGGCGGGCCCGGCAGAGGGAGAAGGCGGAGGAGATCTTCACCAAGATGGGCGAGCTCGGGTACAAGCCCAGCGCCGTCACCTACGAGAGCCTGATCGCCGCCTACGGCTTCTGCGACTCCGTCGCGCGGGCCCGGCAACTGTTCGACGAAATACTCGAGTCGGGGGCCAGCATCGAGGTGTCAACCCTGAACGCCATGCTCGACGCGTACTGCACCAACGGGCTCCCCGGCGAGGCGGACCAACTCCTGGACCACGCCGCCCGGCGAGGCCTCCTCCCCAACGCCTCCACGTACAAGCTGCTCTACAGGGCCTTCGCCAGGGCCAGCAGGAAGGACCTCATACTTAAGCTTCTGAGGATAATGGACCAAGCAGGGGTCGTCCCTAACAAAAATTTCTTCTTGGAGGCCTTGGGAGACTTCAGCTCCTCCCCCTCCTCTCCTTCGCCTCTGCCTCCCCATCCTGGAGGAACAAGGCTGGTGGCATCTACTGCTGCGGATCGCGGCGATGAGAGCCCTTCTCGAGTCCGTGAGGATTGAGGAGGCTGATCCGCCGCAGATTACATAACCCCTAATCTGTTTCCATTTCTGGTAGATCATTCATTTCCCCAGGGAGGGGTATCGGGCGTCCCGATGTTGCTTGCGGCAGGAAATTTGATGTACAGGATGAAGTTGAGCCATATTATTTCCCCTCTGATCTTCCTGTTTTTATCCACCCGTTCCTTGGAATAGGTCGGACTATGTCCCCCACCCACCCTTTGGGATGGGGCTGTGTTTATCACAAGGCAAAGCAAAAGAGCAAGAGAGCATGTACTAAAGATTTTAAGTAAAGCCCAAGCACGAAGGGAAGAGAAAACAACAACAACAACACACCACACCGCCACTCCCCCACAGCCATGGGGGGCTGTCTCAGGAGGGAATGCTTCTTATTCGCAGGGCACACAAGACAACGGACTCACAGCCTCGCCCAATTCATTGCAGGGATCATTTGGAACAGAGAGAAGTCCCGCCTTGGTTTAGTTTGTAGGTAGTAGCCAAGGTTATTGGGTGACAGGGATGCGTCCCCGGCTTTATTGGGTGACTGGGGCAGACTGCCGGGGTGGGTCGAGAGCTGACTAATGCAGGATTTCAGTCATCGCCAGACTCTTGCCGGCGGTAGCGGCGCCGCTCCTCCTTTTCCTCATCAGAGTCCTCACCCTGCCAACAATTAAGAACAGAAAGTGTGTGAGTCCGTGTGTGTGCGTGAGGTGGATTCAAATAAAATTTTATACAGCTAGAGTAGTCGACTTATGGTCGATCTGATCTGGGTGAAGATTGGCCGATGTGATTATATGGACAGGTGCTTGGATGATTTGGCCCACTTCCTGACAGCACCTAAAGGCACGGATTATTTGATCTGGACATTCCAATTAGAACCAAGCTGGATTGGCAGCGTGTGTGATCCAGCCGGCTGATTCAATTGTGAACACATTGAGTCGAATCAATCTAAAGAGAATCAGGAGGAAGTAAATGGTCCTAACGCATTCCACCAGATGGTAGAATCTGATATTTTACGGAAGAAAATGAACCAGTATGCTCTACCATCAGTCCCCTGTCCTCTACATAGTATCTAAGGGGAACAACCCCATTTTCTTTTATCGAAAGATATGATAGGATGCCATATGGAACAAAGGACAACAGTTCTTCTCCTCAGGAATTATCATAGTAAGGGAAAGCCAAGTCATTATTTTCAACGCATATATTCGACGACCACTTACAGCACATTTAACTAAATTTATCGTGCATCAAAGGGGCAGGAAGCTCCTCTTCCTCAATATTTAACTCAGGGGAGGGGAAAAAAATAAATCAACGCTGTCTTATGCACAAAGCTAATGCAGTATTCAAAGTCATGTCACACGGTTCTGGAAAAAAAACCCTGTATTCGGCATACATCTTTGAAATGAGACCGAGGAAAGAGGGAGAACCGGGATCTCAAATCAGCCACAGAGGAGGAAGATATAAGGAAGCAGGAACATGTTCCAGTAAGAAGCCGATACTTCTGTCAATATGGAAGTACTTGATTATCATAAAGCGAAAAGAAGATTGCAGATGAATGAATGAATCAAATGTGGACAAGGGAACCCTACTGTGAACACTGTCCAGAACCTATCCGCAGAAGTGTGAGAGTCTTTAGGGGGAACTTGTGTCAAATTATGGAGGATGGATTTGTGGGAAGAAAACAACTGCAAAGGTAATGAACTTACAGAGTTTCTGCGGCCGTAGTCTTCGTCTCCTCGCTGCCCATAACGGGGCCTTTCTCCGTACCCGTACTCGCCGGAGCCGCTTCGCCCGTACTCCTGCCTCCCTTCAGACTCATAGTTTCCGCCCTCATAGTCGTAGCTCTGTTCTTGACGGTAAGGCTTCGGCCTGGAGCGCTCTTCATCGCCATAACCATGGGACTGCTCTTCAGACCTCCGACCGTAACTAGAATCATACTCAGATGGACGCCCCTGCCCACCATAACCATATTGGGGCCGGGGATCGCCCTCAACACTGTACGGTCGCTGCTCCTCATAGGCTTCCTCCTGCTGCGGCCGGCGGCCGTACCCCCCGTAGCCCTCGTCGGAGGCAGGCTGACTCTCGTACCTGTAGGCAGAGGGCCGGGCGGATCCGGAGTAATTGGGTCGCTCGTAGTCCACGCCGGTGTCGGAGGAGGAATTAGCAGCGTTCGGAGGATAGCATGTTTCGTCGGAAGGAGGAATCGGGCGGCCGAAGGTGAGCACAAGATCGTAGCCGCCGCCATAGGGGGTGGGATCGAAATCATCGAAGTCGTCTACCGCCTCGTCAGAGCCGATGTCGTGCCTTCTCCACTCTGCCATGGCTGATAGGAAAGCTGGATCTGAAGATCTGGAGAGAGACAGCGATGATCACAGGCAAGAAGGGCGAGGTCTCCCGACGTTGGAAACGGGGGTTAATAAATAGTGGGTTGGCCGCTGGAGGAAGTAGGCTCATGTCCAAACTACCCTCCATTGGACACCATAATTATGATACCACGCCAAATCCGTCCACGTCGTCTTGTCCCAACTGACCTCTACCAATTTGGAATTTTCCTATTTTAAACGAAGCTATTTAAATAAAAATTAAAATCCTCAGCTCTTACCGTGAAGATAGGATTGGCAACAAATCCATCCCCAACATATTTTCAGATAATATTATATTCCCTCAAAAAATAAAAAGGGAAGGAGAGAGAGAGAGAGAAGAAAAGAGAGATTTTTTCTTCACCCAGATGACATTGGAGTCATTGAGGCACTACCGCTCCCAACTGCCGAAACTATTTATAGCTTAGAAGAATTATGAATATATATATATGTGATATATTTTAAATGTAATATGATTTCTTCATATTATGCCCATAACTAGTTTGCCCTTGACTTAGGGAAATGGCAAGAAAATATCGTCTACACGGCTTCGGCTCAAAGCATGGTGCTGTAACGACGCCGGGGGGAAGGCGGGGGAGAGAGGAGGGGGGATGGACCGGTGGCGGCAGCAGCAGCCTCATCATCTGCTCTCGTGGCAGAGGGATGAATACGAGAAGATTTTGCTCGGTTGGGGAGAGAAGGATGGTGGAAATTTCTGGCTCGCCCTCTTCCGTACGTCCCACTGTGATCTACAGCTGCTCAGCTAACCTTGCAATCTGATTCACGTGGGACGAAGAGGAAGAAACATCGAGCGAGAATGCTAGCCGTTTCACGCGCATCGTTCCCGTCTCTGGATGCATTGCTCGATCAAGGGATTATTTATTTTTTGCTGGTTGAGGGTGGGATTAGTTGGATCCTTCAGTGTTTTGACTGTAACAGTCGGTGAGACTGGTCACAAACAGGAAAGTTTTCCAAGAATGTTCAATGTTCCAAGAAATCTGTTCAAGGGGAGGATCAGATTTTTCGTCTTCTTCCATTGGTCCTGTTTGATCATTAGGTTCCCGGATGTCTCTGGGTTTTTATCTTATTACCTGCTTGGATCGTTGATTGCACGCTCAAAGAAAAGCCTCAGAGAGATCGGGTTTTTGACATTGTGTGGTGGAAAGGTCTCACTCTCCACGTTAACAAATGACATTGTGTGGGTTCCTCTTGCCTTTCTCATCAGGGTAGTTCGACGTTTCCTTTGAATCTCTAATTTTTATATTCACCAGATGTGATCTTGTTCTGAGGAGATATGTTGGAGGGTCGGTCCTGCTTGACATCGAGGGTTCTCCCAAGCCCATGCGAACAGCAATGCAAGTGAATCTACTTGCAGTGTGATCTCCCGGAGGCCTCTAGGACAAGCAACGGATGCTTTGACAGAAGCGGGAAGAAGGCTGCCAAGCTCACGATTCCGGTGATGTCGGTGGGGACGTATATATAGAGATAGACCTTCGTTCAGAGATAGAGCCATCAAGAACGACGTTGGGCCTCCTCCCTTCTCCGTGACCGGATACTCCCTGTTGGGGCCAACTAAGAGACCTCTTGCACCTACTAACTCATCGCACGTCTGCCAGCGTGTCAACGGGCCGGGCCGGGCCGGGTATACTCTTATGAGGCCCAAGCATAGCACGTCCCTTTCTCTCTCTTCACTCTTCTCTATCTCCTCTTCTCTTCTCTCTCTCCTCTTCGCTCTCCTTTCCTATTTCCCTTTCTTTTCGCTCCTCTCTCTCTTCACTTTTCTCCGTCTCTCTCTCTTCGTTCTTCTCTTCTATTTCTCTCTCTTCAGGTCTCTGTGGCAGGCCTTCCTTCATAGAAACCTACAGTTCCTTACGTTCACCGCCCTCCTCTCTCCTCTTCACTCCTCTCGTTTACGCCTATTGAGTATTAATGGGCCCTACAATAGGTGCGAGAAAATCTTGATGTTCAGGGGCTTATTTGTCTTTTGTCCCATGGAGTCTATCGTGAGATTGTGTTTAACTGAAAGGTATTTCTCTCTCTTATGTTATTTGGCATCATACTTAAAATTGCAACAAGGACGAGAATGTGTGTGCCACTTTGCGCGCCGCTCTGCCACCCCCTGCTCCTGCACATGCTGGGCATGTCACCAGTGCTGGTGCATGGCCTTGCACACACGGTTCCTGTACGAGCACGCCCGTGTGCTCCCATTCTGCCATGTCATGCCGTACAGGCATGTCTGCACACGATGCCATGCTCGAACTCCCAATCTGGTCCCTTCTGCAGGACCAATTGGTGCGTGCATGTCTCACCTACGGCCTCCTGCTCCTCTGAAGCTTAGAAGTGGGATTCTATGACTCCAATGTGGCTAGCCAAGGGATCTGCTCCTTCAATCATGTGATCCTCAGCCCGGGTAGAGCACAGTCTCCCTCCATCCTCAATCCCATAGATCTGCACCATACTACCAAATTCTCATGGGGCCAATGTTGACCTCACCTTGATTCTTAACCTGAATTGGCCTTGGTCACCATGCCAGCACCAAGCAGAGGAGGAGGAGGGAGGAAGACCCCACTTCGCCTTTCCATGCTCAAATCCCCTCTAAGCTTATAGTGGAGAACCCTCCCAAGACATCCCCAAGTTAATAGAGAAGGGAGAATATGCGTTTAGTAGTTTTCCCACCCACAATGGTCGTCCGGCCCACTTGTCGGTTTGCCCATTCGGATTTTAAAAGCTTTGGGTGTAACAGGAGTTCACGGGAAATGGAACCGTCTAAAGTGGTTGTTTTATAGCTGCCACAAATATCTGTCGTCCCATAAAATTGCAGGAATATCTTGCTCACTGAGAATTTGGGGGACTGTCCACATTTAATAGCTGATGGAATAAGGCGGCACCTTATAAAAGGAAAATCAAAGCCAATTGTTGAAACTGGTCAAATGATGGGACAGGTGGCCACCGTGTTAAAATTTGCTTTGCTTTTGGCATTGGTTGTGGAAAGGAATCTCTCCCACTCAATGTTTTTATTATTTCCTTTCGGAAATCCATCCCTAGTATTAGGGATGACTTCCTAGGAGACAATAATACTAGTGTGATTGTCGATGTTGGCATTCTTGTTCATCCATTGAGTAGTGTTTCAAACCACATTTGGGGATTGACAAGGGTTAATTAATTTTTTCAAGCCTTGTATTAATCAATCAAAAAACAGTCATCACTGATAAAGCAGTGGATCCCTCGTTCATGATCCATCTAGAGGACTTGGGCTCACCGCCTGAAATGATTGTCAACGTCTCAGTCCCCCCTTGTTGGTGCTTTTACAGGAATAATACAAAAAAATTATCCTCCTCTCAAACCACTGCAATAAATACTGATATCTAATGCAACAACTGATATGGATTTTTATCAAGGATGGACCTGTACACGTGAACAGTCATCTCAAAATACTAAGTGAAAACACAAAAATATATGAGATTCTACACTCAAGACATTATCTTGTCTGTCCATCCTTCCATAGTATACGGGGAGAATGACTGTGAATTTGAGAGGAGAGTTATCAAGTCCTTGACTAAGACAGTAGGCAAAATGAAGAAAATGAGAGAAGGGATGCCGTGTCTGATGCAAGGTTTTTCCAAGTCCAGTTCTTCTTCGTCTTCATTCTTCTTCCAGCGTTATTTGAGTTTGGGACTGGAGCTTGGTCAGCGAATATTTTTCAGGCACCGTTGGCTGGAGGATGGATTATCGAAAAGTAGCTGTAAGACGGCCTGTAGGGGGTAAATTAATTACGGTCGGCCATGGAGTATCTGGTAGTGGTCAATCTTCTTAGACTGGTCAATGATATCCGCCTAACTTGGAAACGTGGAGCGGAGGTGAACAACCCTCGGTGCTTGTTTCGTTCCACCAGCCTAGGACAGATCGCCATAATCACAGGGGGACATGATGTCAATGGCGTCATACACAATTCTGCAGAACTATAATTCAGGGGCTCGGACTTGGCCATGTGGAGTATGCACCGGCCGAGGAAGATGTACTCCGGTGTTCTCATGAATAAGTAGTATGTCGTTGGCGGAACAGGCGTGAATGGGCAGCATCTAACTTTTGGGAAGGAGTTTGATCTCTAGACGAAAGATGTACTCCGGTGTTCTCATGAATTAGTATGTCGTTGGCGGAACAGGCGTGAATGGGCAGCATCTAACTTTTGGGAAGGAGTTTGATCTCTAGACGAAGACCTAGCGGGTCATTCAGAACTTGTTCCCTCCGGAGAATGGAGCGAGTGGTGCACCTCCCCTGGTTGCAGTTGTGAAGAATGAGCTCTACAGAGCAGACTATGCTGCAAAGAAGCTGAGGAAATATGGCAAGGAGAGCAACAAATGGATCATGTTGGGAAGTTTGTAGGAGACGTTGGTTTCGATGAACAGCAGGGGCCTCGCTTTCCGGGGATGACAGGAGTGGCCGAGAGGTGTATATGGAGGGACAATTGAACTCAACACATGGGTTCCACAGGATGGTCCTCCAGAGTAGGAATTGATTGCCAGAAAGTTGTCTGGAGGCTTTGTTTCTAACGGTACTGTAGTATAGTGCTGACTTTTTCAGATCGTTGACCTGAAACGAGGACTTTTTCAGCCGTCTGGGGAGAACGCACAAGATTGGTTTGTTCATCAGGAAAGAATTCTGATTCCGAATTGCGAGGATAATTTTCTACCATTATTGAGGTCCTATTCAGGAAAGAATATCTTCTACGGGAAATTTGTCAATCTTTTGTTCTTTTTTAGTCATTCTATGCGGATTCGAAGACAGCTGTTATCTCCCCATTATCCAATCCCCTTGAGGATTCCCACAAACTGGAAGCATAGGCATTGGGATAGAAATAATTTATTGTTCCGTTACATCTGGATTAGAACGACCAATTTAAGTTTCTTTTGGCTTCATTTCAGTAGCCTTATGTTTGCTATCTTGTGACGAACGAGCTCCCTTAAAATACGACAAAAAAATAAGCGAAAGATTCACTGGACCCATGCTTAACACGTGGGATTCGTTTTTTAATCATTCTCCCCTTCATAAGCCCTTCATAATCTACTTTACAACCAGAGAATGGTTGCCTGCTTTCGCCTGTAAATCATCGGCTGGGTGATTCATAGGCTTCTTTTCATATTTTTGGTAAGTAGCCCCTCAAAATGCTTGCAAAACGGGTGATACTGCTATGCGCCTAGTCTTCCTTCTTTCGGATGACATTGAACGTTAGTTTAATTCTATTTAAAGTTCACCATGCGGCCATCCATAATGTGCAGAGATGATCGCATTAACGAGTCAAACGCTTCACATGGAAGAATGCTCACAAATCAGAAACATAGACTAAAACAGATTTGAAAATAAACCCAAAGAAAGAAACAGAGAGTGAGCTCTTGAAGACATACGCATACAGACACCAGACATCACAACAGTACGAGAGAGAGATAGAGAGAGAGAGAGCATCACATGCTGATTTACAAAAAGTATCATGTTCATCAAGTATGGGAACTTCAGATGAAAGATTAAGGCAGCTGCACTAAATAAACCCAAAGGAAGAAACCAGGGGTGAGGTCTCTTCTATGATTGGTAATGACCCACGAGTTCAGCTTTTTGAATGCAAATCAGAGAACGACAAATCACCACAGAGAGAGAGATTGCATAACACTTCAGCAACTCATGGGGATTTCAGAGGAAGCCATCAACGCACATTGGGCGCATGAAGAAATTAGGGAATCGGTTCTGCTTCAACATATCCACCTGAGTGGCTGTTGAAGCCTCACTACAAGGCCATGCTTAGTGAAATTAAAATCGTGCGATGAGATGTTCTTGATGTCAGCAGACGGCAATAACCTTCTCAGAGCTGCGAATCTGTTGGCCTATTGCAGTTCTTGACACTCAGCATTGTGTGAATCTTTGGTGTCGACGGCATATAGAATATTCCGGACGGCCTTTGTCATCTGCCAGATGTGGGAAGAAAAGAATAACTTGACCAATAAAAGTACTAATTGTGAAATCGGGCACAGATTCTTTATTTCCAAAAGGGAACGTGAAATGATGCTCAAAATAACCATGCAGGATTGCTGCCACCATTTAGCTTTATAGAACGTCAAAAAACTTCACTGGAAGGAAATAACAATCAATTGCAGGAAAAAAAATGATAGTCCGGTTAAATGGAGAAAGGCGAGGAGAAGACTGGGGTGGGACCCACCGGAGGATGGAGAGCTAACCCTCGAGACGGGCCAGGCAAGGATAAGCAACATGCTTCCCTTTTACATGGTCCAAGACTCGAGAAATCAAAAGATTGTCCTTTAACACAGGAAAATTGGGGGTCGAAGATTGAAAATGAAATGGGGCTTACACTGACGTGGAGATCAGCGAATAAACAATAAGTTCATGTACGCTGAGCTCAAAAAGTGAACCAAACTGCAGGAACTACACATCATACATTCACCTCCCAAAAAGAAAAAACTCCCAATGGCGTTGATGTTTGGGGCCAGCATGGATTTATTTTTTCTTAAAAAGAAGGTTCATACCGGTAGGTGCTCCAACTCAGGTCTTTGGCAAAGAACTTCAATGTCACGCAGTTTTGAGAAGTAGAAGTCTCTTTCTTTCTCTGTGTTGTCTATTGAAAGCTTGAGATCCATAATCTGAACAAAAACAAAGCTCAACAAAATAGAATTTCGTTAGATATAATCCAAGATATTGAAACTCTCTCCACCAATCAAACTTTAAGTCGGCCAAATTTTCCTGGAAATACGTACAGCATGCCAAAAAATAAAACAGTAGTATAAGTCAAAATTAGCATGAAAAAGGAAATGCTTCCTCAGCCTGAATAATAATGGAACTTGATCTCTCTAGTGGGAGTAGATGAGAAAAAGGGTATAACTCTAGGGTTCTTTTTCAACAACTTTTCCAGTCTCTTCTCACTGCAAAAATTGATGGCTAGGCTTGAAGACTACAAAAATTGACGGGATGATCATCCTGAAAGGGTCTCCAAGATATTGGACTGGTTCTAAATGAACATAAAGAAGGCAAAACTACAAGCCATAGTGTCACAAACCAGAAAAACATCATCTAAATGGTTTTCCTCTAATATGCTAGCTTGAAAAATGAGTAAGTGTTTAATGATGGAATGGCAAATTGATGCGACTAAATTTCATCAATTCAACAAGAAAAGACCTTTCCCCAAATCCTACATTAATACCTTCTCATTCAGAATTTTTATCTCTTCTCGAAGATTAAGATTTTCTGCATTAGGATATGAGCATACTTTTACTTGAATGGGACCTACACAAAAAAAAAAAACAGAGTAAAGTTGACAATTTAGTAAATTTCATGGTTGATGAGGAAGAAAAGGCACAGCAGCTCAAGTGAGGATATAGGGATCTACTGTCTACTGAAACTCGTGGTGAGTTATTTGATTGCAAAGTTTTTGACGATCTCTGAGAGGCCCTTGAATTCTTCTCTTTCCCAACCTTGCATCTTCGTTCCACAGGGTTATAGTTCCTAGAATCCATAAAGCATACATCAATCAGTAATGTTAAAAGCTAAGTTACAAAAATGAACAGTACAACGTGAACTCTACAGACCCAGAATCAATAGAAAGCTAATAAAAAGTCCCACAAGAAATAAGGATATGTACTCATTCATGATTCCGCCATTTATAGAATCACAATAGCGTTTCAACCATTGTAGAAACTCCAAGTTGTCCAATGGTCTCCCTTTAACTAGTTTATTGACTTCAATCCGCTGACAAGTTTATGAAGAAAGAGGTCAAATCAAGCATTAGAGAAATATGGTTAGATTTTATATCAATAGCATTGCTTCAGAGAGGTGCCTACGATAAGTAATGAGTAATCAGATGATCAATGCCACATAAAGGGAATGAGAACAAAAGCCATGGAAGATCAAAATATTCATGAAATACTGGTGTACATGCAGTGCAGAATAATTGAAATTCATAAATTGTGGATAAGGTACTAAACTTCATAAGATAGGAAAACATAGAGAAATGGAAGTGAAATTAATAAAAATCGAGGAAGCCAAAAAGAATAGGTTAGCCTTTGCATTGTCTCTTTCTATTATACCCCGCCACTGGTTACTCTATGCTAAGCAAGTAACTTAACCCCTTTCTCCTTGGCTTACAGGAAGCTCCAATGAAATTATTCACAGTTAATATGGCCGCATGTCACAACTGGTGTAAAAAGGAAGACACATAGCCCTAACTCGTAACTGAGTGTACCTACGACATGCAAACCCCCTCAACCTCAATATTTGTGAGAAGAACCCATTGAAGATCCAAAAATAATGAGAGAATTCATTCACACACTCTCATTGATATAAGCACAAAAGGGAAAATGAACTCAAGGTATCAAATAAGGCCAGTAGATGGTATTGTATTATTCATTGGTTAGTGGATGATACAAGATTCATTCTTGTAAGCTGATGTGAATGATATTATAGCACAAACTAACTATCTGTCATTTTTCTAATGTTTTATGGGCAGTAAGCAGCGTTAAGCAGCCCATCGGCTAAGATATATGATAATATTTACCTTCTCTATACCCAACTTGGTGAACACCTCTTGGAGAACTTTATAATTTTGGATCATATCATATTCAGTCTTTGCATCAAAATTAACCTGAAAAAGACAAACGCAAATTCAGCATTGCATACAAGAGACGTTTCTACAAGTAAAATATAAGAAAAAAAGGATAAAATGATACTTACTTTGTGCATTGGAACAACCCCAGGGTGAGTCACATCCATCATTTGACATTGCACAGCACCAGAAGCAGCCTAAAAAAACTAATTCACGATTACTACTGGCATTCTAAAAATGGTGATGACTAAGTGTAGTCTTCTTGAAATCGTCTGATTTCCTGGTACGAAGTGATTGAAAACATAAATGTCCTAGTTTTCATCGTTTCATGGTCGCCAAAGGGGAAATCAAGAAGTGCGAAATAGTTAATGAATCCGAAGGGGAAAATCTGCATGGGAACTTGAGTCCTCGTATCCCAAAGGCCACTGAGTGGGTATTATTGAAATTTTGACTATGGTGAAAGATGAACCGCAAAAAATATTTGACACATGTTGCAGGTTGTAGATAAGTCTAACAAGCAAAAGAAGGAGTACGAAGCTAAAGATTATTTTATCCATGTTCTTGAACAATTTCATTGCACGTTCTGCATTTTCTCCATTCCTTGAATCACATTAAAAATGGACAGTGAGAAGCATATCACAATTGATCCATCAAAAGACTGTCACTCCAGCAAACAGAAAATTAACTTCAATCTGAACCATTGCATTTACGCTCGTCTCTGTAATGATTATTTTATTAAAAAAACCACAAACTGATGGATTGTTTGAGAAACAGGGCAAGTCAGAAAAAGTAATCCTTAAATGAGGACCATAAAAGAGCAGTAGAGATATGCAGGCACTCATCGCATGGAAAGCATAAAAACGTGAAAAGGCAAGGTGAACCTAGGAAGCTAGAGCGCATCTTACTGCGATGAAAGATATAAAAACAACCTTGTAAAGAACGAACATTCCGAAATTAAAAACTTAAACCAGGCAACTCTTATCTTTCAAAAGTACCACAATAAAAAACGGGGGAGACGGCTAAAGAGATACACTCAAAAAAATAGGGGAGGATGGAGGAGCTCTTCGACATCACCACCTACCTCTTCGACCCTGGAAAGGTTGAGTTGCAGCGTAGCGTTGATCCAGGACAAGATTTCGTTCCTCCCCACGAAGTAGGCGCCGTCCATCGTCCCTATGCTCGTCGCCATTCCCCTTTCCCTCGGATCCCTCTGCCGGTCTCCGACCGGCAATAACAATACCAGAAAGAGCAGGTAACGAGAGGGGAGAGCGAGATGCAGAGAGAGAGAGAGAGAGAGAGAGAGAGGGTAATGATATCAGTAGCAAAATTAGAGAGGGAAAATTAGAGGGGGGGGAGGACGATGACAGATTTTCCAATCAAAACTAGTCTGTATACACATCAGAGGGAACGGTCGGAACGCCAGTTATAAAGAGACACGTCATGAAAGTCATACCTCGATGATAATATACACGTATCGACGAGTAAATCATAACGTACGTTTGGCTCTGCGCCGAAGAATCCAAACGACATTCCAATCTCCTTTGAAAATGAGTTATTATTAATCAACTGAAATTAAGCCGTCCGGTTGACGTCCGCAGCCCGCCACACGGGGGGATGGCTGCTTCCTGCCTGAAATGGGCTCCACCGGCTTTCGACCGTCGGATTCCTGCTCGACGCCTCGTAATCGCCGTCCATACCTCTCGGGCGAGTCGTTGGGTGACGTTCCGCGTCCACGACGTAACCCTGGAGTGGACCCTGACGTGGACAACCCGGCGTTCCAACCCGGGCCGGCCCACCCTGCCGGTCGCCGTCAGTCCCGATCCGGCGGTCTGGTGGGACGTCCGCCAGTCCGGATCAGCACCGGCCGGACCGGCTGCCGTTGTCCTCTACGGCGATGCGCCCAATAAGACAACGGCCATGAGATCAGGCTGGCATGGTTGACACGTATAACAAAATTCAACAGCCACATCAGGATCCACCGCTCCTATGTGGCGATCAAACACGGGAGGGAGGGCCGTAAGAAGGTTTCATTAGGGTCAACGCTCCGGATACTTCTCCGTTCTTCAACGTCACCGCGGGATTTACGGGAGTTTATTCCACGTCATCACTGAGCGAACGCCCAATTTAGTTTTTGGCTTGAGTCTTTAGTATCAAGCCCAATACAGCAGCTAGTTTACATCTTGGACTTATACGACGGGGTGGTGGAGTGGAATCATCCATGGGCCAACGCCCCTGCAAATCCTTCTTGTGACATCTTATATCCTCTTTCCATTGTTTTTCTATTGATTTAGGTACCCAGATGATTATCAAATTTTCAAAATCACTGAATCAATGAGCGTTAGCTACAATCATGTTCATACATTCACATGCATAGTGGCATGCGGTGTTTTACAATAAATATATATCAATGGCCACTTAAAAAATTTAGACTATGATATGAACATCAATATCGAGGATTTCTAATGAATTGATCTTCATCCTCTTCACCCGAACTTCAAATAAATCACAAGTTAACATCATTATCTAGAAACATCATATAATGATATTTTTAATATTTTTAATGGGATAAATTTTATATTCAATATTAATTTAATCATGTCCCTATTAATAATTGTTGGCCTCCTAGAATCATGAATCTAAAATAAAAATTTGAAGTGAAATTCTTAGAGAGTTGGATCCATTAACCTCTATTTATATCCACTTTCTAAAAATAGCCTCATTCTTGAATTTCACTAGTTTAAATATCCACCAATCACTCACATAATTTAACCTTAAAATATTTTGATAAATTCACTAACTAGCGACTCAACAACCAAATACAAAGAAAACTCTTTATGGTGATTAAATCATAATTTAATAATAAATTTACCAATATTATAAAGATAGATTTAACTCTAGGTTGATTCAAAAAGAAGGTATTTTCTTGGAGTACATCCTAAATTACGATAAAGAGGATGATGATAGAAACTTGAATCTTGTTCTACTATTCTCATATAGGTGCTGGATGAATGTCAAAGATATTGACATTTTGATTTGGTTAAAATAATATATTGATTTAAATTGATTTAATGTCTTGTTTCCATTCTACCACCAAGGAAGATTTCTTAAATTCTCATATATTTTTTAATAAAAAAATTAATGAAGCTTTTGAGAATGTAAGGGGTTAGAGTTGAGTTTTTGGAATCCTCACCCATTGGAGACATGCTGAATTTACAAATAAATCAGGTTTTAAAACCTCTCCTATTTTTCACCCTCTCAACATTTAAGTTCCAAAATTAATTATAAATTCAAATTAAAGGAAACGAATATAACATGTACTTTAAGAGTTTTTATATACTCTATGAGAAACCAATGCACATGACCAATTACGTAACACTATATTCAAAGTATACCGATTTAGTCAAGACTAATAAAGATTTTCTAATGTTGAAATAAAATTGATAATATATGTCAAAATTAAGTAATGATTTGGTAATCAAAACATATCCATATGACATCAAATCAATGAGAATCATCAAGTAGACACATTGTATCATGATCTCAATATGTAACATCATAGTTCTTGTGATATAGATCATTTAAATTTTTTATGTATAGTATTTTCTAATATCAAGAAAATTTATAGTGACAATATGAGAGGTTTGAAATCAATCAATTAAATTTAATCCATTCAATTGTGAGTAGTTAGATCCACCAAATTTCAAAATTGAACATTGTGAAATTTTCATAAATTTCTTGAATTCTTATTTACATATTTTTTATTATTACTTTGAGTTTTTTATTGTTATATATTTACTTTAATGTATGTTCATGTATAAAAAAATATTTATCAATTAATGAAGATCATAAATAGTACAAAAAAACTAGATTTTTTGACTTTTCTTATGTGTGTTTGTCATCATCCAAATAATATACATCTAATACTCCAATATTTCTCATCACCTAAAAAGGAGAGATTGTTGGAGCATTAAATGAATATTATTTTGATGATTACAACCAAAAATATTTTTTTATTTTTTCAGTTTTAACTTATCCCAGCTAAATTAGTTCTATCATTGATGTAATTTTGACTTTTTGGGAAAAGAGTTTATGTTAGTTACTATGGTTTATTGATATGCCATTGTAGAAACCATTATATGTAGTGTTTTCACAAACAATATTTTTAGCTTCAAGTGCTACAAACAAGTAAATAAAGGACAAGTTATTTTCTTCAACTTTGCATATAGCTAAGGAGGATTGTGTAGGGGTGCCACAAATAGAATAATCCTATAAGTTTATTAAAATTATAAATCATAAATGGAATAAAAAATTACCATAGATTTAAATAATAAAATGAGTCATTTTTTATTTATTTTAGTTCTTCTTGATGCAAACGGCTTCTTCATTAGTAAAGTGAAGATCTTTGCATTCATTTTCCGTAACCATGAACAACTTGAAGTTTTATGCACAATATGATTTACTCTACTATGATTTACTGGTATGTCGTGTAATTTTGGCTTATCTAATACTATATTACTAGTATCATGAGTAGGTGTCCATTCCTATCAATAAGATCACTTTCACAAATCCAAAAATAGATGCCAATCTTATTATTTATTTGGATCTCTTATGTCTTCACTAGGTTAGTTGGAATTTTCATTCATCATCCATTAAGTTAGAACTATGAAGGTGATTATGATGTTCTAATTAGAACTATGCAACTAGTAAATGATAAATTGTTTGTATAGAGATCAAGGGTTTTCAGTTATTCTATGATACCTTATAATTCTACTTGATAATTCCATGTATGTTGCCATATCATTCAAGTTATTTCTTCAAAGTGTTAACCAATTAGTTTCTTTCAAATTACCATAAGCATCTAGTAAAGTGAAGAAAATGTTGACAAGATATTGGAAGCCTTATTGTTTCTAGGTGTGTTTGAGTGCATTATACAACAACTAAACTTCAAACTTACATTTAGATAAGGCTTGGATCCTCAAGAACATGCAGGAGCAAAAAATAGGAGTAGAAATATTCTTAATTTTTCAATTTGGGTGTTATTAGGGACAATAATTAAGGGAGACAATTCTTGGAGATGGCACTTGATGTAAACATACATGGAATTATCAAGCTCTTTGTAAACTTACTGAAGTTCACTATTTTAGCACACCACATCCCACCATGATGAAAATTGTTACATGCAAATATGCTAAATTTTCAGCCCAACTTGCCTTAAGTGCCTCCAACTATAATTTCCTACCAAAATAGTATTAAGTATCATTTTGTTTAGGGTATGTACCTTCATCAAGATTCTCATTTTCTCTCTATATAGAAAATTATTTTCACTTCTCTCATGAACTGATGTGTCGAGAACAAATTTTTGTATGGATGACATGCTATTGAAAATCATTTGACATTTTTCGAATTCAAAGTCAATTATCAACATGTTCATCTTCCTTTAATCATCCCATTATATAATATTTTGCATGTATCATTATTCTTATAACATTTATCACCTCTTAGAAAAATTTGTGAAGATCCATTTATGTAATTAATCTCATAATTTAATACAGAATTTACAAATTTAACATTTCACTTTCTTCATATCACTTGAATCATTCATTTAAGAATAAAAATATCATAACGTTTTCATAATAAATTATAAAGATCTTCAAAGTGAGAAGCCATGAAGGAGAAATGTAGAATCGGGCTCCCTTCATAGGCATGTAAGATAAAGGCTTAATGGAATAAGAACAAGTAGAATAACAAGACATCATATCAAATATTTGTATATTACTTCAAATCTTTTTTGCAGAAAATTATAAATAAAAATATGATTATAAGTATACTTCCATAGTAAGGTTTGATGAAATCAATTTGCTATATCGGATTTGTGTTGTTTGACTATGACTTTTATGTATAAGTCTATAAACATAACAATCCAAGAAGAGGTAAAAATGTTGAGAAGTGAATAAATCAGTTTAAAGAGAAAATACAAAAAAGACTAGTGAGTCAATTCATGATTAGAGTCAACACTAGTGAGTCAAACTTATGAGAGATAAAAAAAGAAGATTATCTTTAATATTAAGTACAACTCATAATCTAAAGTTAGTGACAAACTAAAATCTACTTCCTAAGTGAGCCCTTAATTAAGTTTTATTCATTTTAATCAAATATTAAAATATATTTTAAATTAGTGATCATATCTACTTTCAATTGTCACTTGAATCTTTTGGAGACTTAATAAGCCCATCGACTAGTTGACCCTTAGAACTCTTACTAAGGTAGACTACACGAATATATCTTTGAGAACAACACTTCAACAAGCACAACAAATAAAAAAAACCAAGTCTAACAAAGAATTTTCCAAAATCATGTTTAAATATAAATTTGTATATTTATATTAAAAAACGTAACCTGTTTGATGGATGGGGGATCTCCGGGCTACGATCCCGAGGAGAATCGGACGGTGGAGAAGGGTTCCCAAATTTCCCCGAAGGTATATATTGCGGTAGGGTTTTTCGCATCGCGAGCCTTCTAGTTACGAGCGGCCGTCGTGGTTGGAAGAATAGGGGCCGTCAGCCATGGTGCACGTCTCATTCTACCGAAACTGTAAGACCTCTGCTCCCGCCTAACTCTAGATGTTGATCCCTTGCATATCAATACCAACCAGCGAATCGTTCTCCATTCCTGATAGACTCCTATATTCTTATGTATCTCTGTTGTAGCTATATTTGAGGCCTCTGTGACCTTTAGCAGTTTAGATCTCAGTCGATCCTTTATTTCGAGTTCCACTGGGCTGCTGTTTTTCTTTCTGATCTCGTTGGCTATTGTAAGTCGAATGTGGTCTTTTATTTTAGCACACGTCGTATATTTAGGTTTTCTTGACCGTGCGTTTTGCGTGAAGACGGAGATGTCGATGTTTTTTTCTTAAAATTAATATTTATTCGTAAATAACTAGTACTTTTCGTTTGACGAAATGTCAGTTGTGAACTTTCTTCTTCCCAAGGACTACGCTTGGCGAAATATGAGATTGAAGGATTTTGGATTTACTAGTCTCGACGCATGTCGTGCACGGTTTCTTACGATGAATGTTTCGTCGACGCTAGTTACCTCACTTCTCTTCTTATTGTGGACTTTCCATGTGTTTTTTTCTTCAGATGGGAAGACTTTCAAGAAACCTCGTCGTCCTTACGAGAAGGAGCGTCTTGATCAAGAGCTGAAACTTGTTGGGGAGTATGGTCTCAGATGCAAGAGAGAGCTCTGGAGGGTGCAGTATGCGCTGAGCCGTATCCGTAATGCTGCCAAGGAGCTGCTTAAACTGGACGAGAAAGACGAGAAACGTATCTTTGAGGGTGAGGCCCTCCTCCGTCGGATGAACCGATACGGTCTTCTGGACGAAAGCCAGAACAAGCTTGACTATGTCCTGGCACTGACGCCGGAGCACTTCCTTGAGAGAAGACTCCAGACACTTGTCTTCAAGTCTGGAATGGCTAAGTCTATCCACCATGCTCGTGTCCTCATTAGGCAGCGTCACATCAGGTTCATTAACAATACTTGCACTTGGTTGTATAAATGATTCTTCATTTCATTTTCTGTTGTATTTTGCTGCTCTTTTATACCGGTAACAATATATTGATACTTTTTGGATAGCAGACATGGCATATACTGCTTTTCACCTGTCTTGGCGTAGGTTCCTGCATTCTGGTTGTCTGATGCCAGCCGTTCAACTTACTCTGTTGGGTTTGTTGGTGTATGTTGGTTTTATTGAATGCAAATTAATTCTTTGATATGTGAAACGTTTAACATAAATCACTTTCCGTCAATTAAATTTTTTGAAATGTAGGTTTCTTTAGGTTACCGGATTTACTAAAATTTTAAATGAAAAATTATTGGTCACGATGAATTCCCTCCTCTCCCTTGAATGAAACATGTAACCCTAAATATTAGTTTGGTGCCCTCTTGAAATACCCACTATTGATTAATGTTGATAATTTTCATGCGATTTCCTATATCCAAATATTAGTTCAGCTGATTCATGTTTGCCCTTACGAAGGAAGTATTTTTCATTGTACTTGTCAGTTGGTAATCAATTGACGTGCTCTCAATGTTTATTTTATTTATTTATATTCTTGTATAATGAGATTATTTAGAATCATGCAAGAGAAAATCTGCTTCAGATACTCAATCAGTCCAGTACCCTATTGTTGACTCTCAAGCTTCTGTCTATCCGTAGAGTGAGGATGTTCATTCTGTTGGCTGGTATGTTTGTAATGGTCTTTTGCCATCAGTTCTCATCTGAATGAGCCATGCCCTATTCCTCTCTGACAAACGTGCTACATAGCGTGATGTGGTTATATTTCGCCTTTGACAGTGTAGTCATTCTTGGATGATTCTTCTTTTTCCTGAACACGAGACTGAGGCTATGAGAGATTTGACATGTCATGGGTTATCCACAACTTAGGACGGTTCTTTTGTTTGTAAATTGTGGGTGTGAAATAGGATATTTATCATGCTACTACTTTATCTTTTGGATAGAAAACAGTGGGAATGCAATGAATTTCATTCAGGTACTATTTCCTCCCCATATGATTCGAATAATGTTGCTCATCCAGGGTTGGGAGGCAGGTCGTAAACATCCCGTCATTCATGGTGAGGGTTGACTCTCAAAAGCACATTGACTTCTCTCTCACCAGCCCCTTCGGTGGTGGCCGCCCTGGTAGAGTGAAGCGGAAGAACGCCAAGGCTGCTGCCAAGAAGGCTGCTGGTGGTGACGATGAGGAGGACGAAGAATGAGCATCTGCTGTTAACTTGGGGGGGGCCTTCTCCTCTTCTCAGTTGCCCCCTTCTCCCAAATCTCTAAAGTTCTTATAAGATGGTACTTTCTAGTGACGGATGGATTTTTTATTTATTCCGGGCATTCAAGCTTTTTCTGTTTTTTAATTAAATCACGTATTGAAATTTGGATGATGATGATTTGCGTTCAGTTACTGCCTTCATTATCGTGATCTTTGAAGGCATAGTCTTTGGCTTGCAACCTCTAGGAGTAATTCCAGGATAGATACAGTCACGCCACTAGAACTGGCAATGTTGGTATGGTTGACCGATGAGTTTTTTTCTTAGAAGATAATGTGAAGTTGTCTTGGGTGTGCACGTTTAACGTTGATGAAGGGTGAAGGGGATGACGACAACTACAGAGCATGACTACCATTCGGCAAAAGGACCACCACAGGTCAGGTATTTGGGTGTTTAGATTGGCCCTATTCTTGGGACGATAGTGGTTACAGCATGAACTTATATGAAGTGTCTACATTGGGGTTTGGGCTATGGACAATTAAAAAATTGTGTCAGCTTTGTGTGAATTGCAAGTAAGGAGTCTAAACAATAATCATTCTCTAGGGAGATTTTTTTGCATAGCCTAGTTGACGATCTTGAAAGTATAAATTTGGTAAGTATGTTCATCTCAAGTGCTAACGAGGGTTTGTTCACGTTTCAATTGCTTCTTCAGATATCTTGGTCTGTTTTTCAATTATTTCCTTGCCATTTTAGTTTGACTTTTAAAAGCTTACTACTTGATGATACTTGTTAGAAGCACGTTCTGTTGGCACCTTTAGGCGATGTATAATAGATTTAGGAGAAACACTGCATAAGTACTTAATAGAGTGATTGTAGAGTAGGTCTAGGTTGATTTAAATTCTTATGCATTATTATAATGTGTATTTATGGAAAAAAATATTTTTATAGGGGGATTAATACGAACTAATTGCCCCACCCTATTCATATACTTTCTCCATCATATTCATGAAATATAATGAAAAAAATTAATAACTAGGTTAACTAGATGATGGTGTTGTGCTATTTCTTTTTTAACTACTAGTGTGGAAACAATTGTCACTTCATGTGCAAGAATTAATAGTTAGGATTGTCATTGCCTCAATCTCTTTGGCCATTTACTCATTCTACCATCTGAAGGCATTTAGGTTGAATGAACCTGATTGTGTGTTTCAAAAATCTGATTTAATTCAATTCTATATAGTGAATAATGTGGTCCAAATGTTAAAGTATGTTCAAAGATGATATCATGAATATATAACAAATGTAAGAAATTAAATGTTCATAGGATAATTAATATAACTAGGATAATTTGATTGTGTTTACACTTACTAATTGTTGTGCTTAATGAATAAAGGTGAAGTATGACTATTAAGGACAATAATACATAAAAAAATGGTACCTCCAACCATCCACTACCTTACATGTCCTCTAGCTCCTTAGATTTTATTGGTCTTCATAAATACTACAACCATTGAACTCGCATAAGATAATTATAATCTTTCTTAATTTTGACTTTCTAAATAGCTTGTATGTTGGACTAATGGGTTTGGGCCATCTAAAGAGCTGACTAGAGCATCAATGGTTCACATAGTGGGTGGTGGCTGAGGTTGAGGATGCCGGCAACATGGGAAATCGTGAACATGCATCATTGATAATAGTGGTGGCACTAGCATTATGGTCATAGTTCAAGAGAATTGGGTGAAGATGGTGAGGAGATGAAGACTTCAAATGTTGGGATGAACAGTCCAAATGGAGTGGGGGTGGTTGTGAAGAACTAAATAGGTATGTTTAGGTTGACTGAATTGAATTGCATGTTACTTGAGCTGTATTTAGATCAATAGGGAATAAATCACACAAATGTTGTTGTGTGAGGACTCAAGAGCCTCATGTGAGATGTGAGACAAGATAGAATGGATCAATTCAACTTTTTCTAGGGTTTTGGTTGACTTGCAGTTCATGGGAACATTAAGTGGAGAGATGTGTAAGCAATTGACGTACCCAATTTGAACTTAAGTGATGCTCTAAAACTTTGATGAGGACCCACAAATGATTTAAAGCTTGGATAATCAATGTTGAGTGAAGTTGATCATTGATTGGCACAACCAAACATGTAAGATAGAGAAGTTAATCATGATGGATATTATATATCCAGGGTTATGATTCACCAACTCACTAGTTCTTTTTATGATACAATGGTTAGAGAATTTATCTTGAAAATATAAGTATTAAAATTTTAGAAAAACCTCACTAGGGTTTATGTGTAAAAAATTGATAACTATCGTTACTTAGTCGTTGTATAGTAAATCACGTAAATTTAAAATTTATAAAACTAGAGAATACTAATTTTTAGATATTTAGAAGTATTTCTAAATAAATATATCAATTATAATTCAATAAAACTTTCAAAAATAGTGATAATTTTTCAAGTCGATCACATGGATGTAATATAATATCGGATAATTTTTCAAAAATTTTCTCAAAGAATACAAGTTTTTATGAATTTTATACTAAAAAATTAAGTTAAAATATATTTAAAATTTACGAAAAAGAAAAATAAGGGTGTGAATGTCAGGATGACATCAGCACTCGACGAGTGCAAATCTTATGAAAATAGAATTCTGCCCGGCGATTCTTACGTAAATGATTACAAACAATTTAATTGATCACATTAAGATTTGTAAAAGCGGGAAAAATCATAATTGAATGAAGTATTGCTTGATAAATTTAAATCATACAAATTATCACTAAATGAATAGGAAATTAAGTTGATAGCAAGAAAATAAAGTTTCGGCGTTGCGGCAGTGATGCGTTAACGATGCACCGAAATTCTGAACGTTTAAGAGGATTGTCGTGTAATGTCACGTCCTTAAAGGCTCTCTTTAGATAAGGACGATGTGGGTAATCTCTAGATCTTCTTGCAAAGTTTAGAAATCAATGAAATGGGTCATCGAATTGTCTCTGACGATTGTTATCCAACGGAGTAGAAAAATAGTGACTTTATAGTTCTCCAACGATTGTCACCCGATGAAGAGGAGCTGAATGGAGGTGAGGCGCGTGTTAGGGAGCTTCATTCTCAGGTCTGCAGAATAAGAGGAGGCTCTTCATCGCATCTTGTACGCTTTCAAGAGGTGGTGACTCGTCTCCTAATAAATTGTCTTCTTCTCGACGACGACTTATTCGTTGATCAATCGAAGATCATTTACTCGATGGATTTGCAATTTGTTTATTACGAATCATTCAATAATTTTAGTAATAATACTCCGCGAATCACATTGACAAGATTTTTACTAATAATCCAACGATTCTGGTAGCTTAATCCTTCATCGGTGATCTATAGGAAAGTTGTGATAATCAGATAAAAATATGAGTTTTGACTCTAAGAGAATTCAAATCTGCACCGGTTGACTACTTGTATGAGAGAGATTGAAATAAGTACTATAATACCTTTATTAAGTGATGTCATCATGTTACATCTCTATTATAATGAAAGTTTATTTTAGGTATTAAAATATTAAAACCTTTTCGAGAGAAGGTGTGATGCGGGTTTAGTCTCACATCACTTGTGCGCCAAAGTTTTAAGCGAATATATAATAATATCACATTTGTAAGTAATAAGTCCATTTCTCTTGCATCTACGATCACTCTTTGTCTCATAGTTTGCTGGCCATTAGTGACGTAAAAAGGGAGTGGTGCACATGTGCCCCCATCGGTCCTAGTCGCTCGAGCCCCTATTCACAACTCTCCCTGATTACACTTCCGACTTGCTTGCAGGCCCAGCTGGCCGATAGGTCCCCTCCATTTTACTATATTTTTATTTTTATTTATTTATTTTATTTATCTAAAAAATAAGACTATAAAAATTATATAAATTATTAGAAAATCACATAATTAGTTAAAAATTCACATTAATCAACTGAAAATTACTTTTCATACTTTAACATAAATATAAGTCTATTTATCATGAGTTAAGACTAAAAAAATATTATTTACTAATTATTAACTCATGATAATGAAGACTTATCAGTAACCCCTCATGGGTTGTATAAGAAGACACTAAAATAATACTTTTATGTCATTCATTGGAGGTCAAGAAGAGGGTTTTTAGGTTTTTTCAAGAGAAAGAGAGCTGGTTTTTAGGTTTACATGGTTTGAATAAGTTTGACGTTCAAAGTAATATGATGCATAAAGACAACCATAATAGGGTTATGTTTGAAGTAATATGATTTATAAAGACAACCATAGATTTTGTGACCCATTTGGTGTTGATTATTAATTTGAATGCTTGATTAAAGGCCAAGATAGGTTGACTTGTGCCACAACTTAATTACTAGATCACATGGGTTGACACACTAGGTGAGACCTACTATAGAAAACCTACTCTAAAAGTGGTTGATTCATCTAGTTAATTTATTCATTGAGAAATGCACCAAAAAATTAATTTTCTCCAGACTTCAAATTTTTTATAGAAATACTAAAAATTATCAACATAAATAAAGTATAACATATAAAGTTATGATAGACATATATCTCTTTGAAATAACACATTCCACACTATTGTCTAATATGGGATAATATATCTTTGGTAGAGTCTTAGTAAAAATGTTAACAAGTTATTTAAGAGTTTTAATTAAGTTGATGATTATATCGCCTTGTTCACATAATCTACTGAAATAATATTTTACTATTCTATATTTAGTTCATGAATGAATGATATGATTTTTTTCCAAATTTATTATTAGATTTAAGACATCATTGAGATCAAGAAGTAGGAGATTGAATTAATTCGATTCTAATTCTACTTTAGATTAATTCTCTTTCAAAATTTCAATCTTGTTTTATAAATCTCAAGTCCCATAATCTTTCTAAATTAATAGGCATAAGACTAAGAGATTTTAAAAGTGGCTCAACCTCATACCTATGTTTAGTCTCCAAAAATAGTAAGTGTTCTTAGATTCTACTAACATTGAATGATTCAATCAAAATGATTGCTTATCACATCCATATTTTTTAAAATTTATTCTCAAAATTATCTTTTAAATTAATGACTTTAGATGACCAACATCTCATTAATGAGTTGAGTTACCCCAAGTGATTGAAGAGTATTAATCATAAGTTTATCCCACAAACAACAAGAATATTTCAGCATGATATTTTCATATGATTAAGTTAACTTTGAGTACTTCTGAAATTTTGATGAAGAGGATAATGGTTGAGACTTGAATTTTTACTATCCTTTTCTTGTAATAACATTGCAACTTAAATTCAGTCAAAGTGAAATCTTGAGTGCTTAAGAATAACTCCTCAAGTCATTACTTTCTTCAAGTTTAACCAGTAGTGAAAATCTCTTGATTTTGATCAAGATTTACTATAGGAAAAATCGACAAAGAGCTTGAGGTCATAGAAGAAATGATTTTTTAGAACTAATTAGGCATTATAAGGACTTGATATTTATATAGAAATATCACTCAATTTTTTTTTAGATTTCTCCTATCTTTCAATATCTATTTTCTCAAAAATAGATGAAAATTTAAATAGTTAAAAAATCAAATATGATATCCTTTTAATGGTTCAAATATCTTTAAGATAAAACTAACAAACTTTTGATTTAGCCCAAAAACTGTTGAAAAGTTTTTGACCCAAGTGAAAGAACTAATACGATATGCGTCGAAAAGGCTAAAAAGTAATAAATCAAGTGCAACAAAGTTTTAGACCAACTCAAGTGAATTAGAGACTCAAGAGACGTGAAGACTCTATTTCGTTCAAATTCAACTTCAAATTGCCCACTAAGAGATTTGGTCACATGTTTAATGAGTCTAAATTTTAAATTCACATATTTTATATATGTAAAATAATCCCCTTATTTTGTTTAGGGCGTTCTTATTTGTTAGGGGACTTCTAACAAAATCCTCCTTTCTCGTAGAGTTTAATTTCTTTTCTTTTCCCTATTTTCTAGGATCATAATAAATTTCCCCCTTTATAGGTTAGTTATAACTAATTTTTGGCCAATAAATAGGACCCCCTTGTAACCCCAATGAGGCATGTTTTTATCAATCAATTTAGAGTTCTATTTCTTTTTGGAGGTTCTCTCCTTTTACTTGTGGATTTTAGAATCCATGTAGATTCAAAGAGTCATTTTCGATAATGTGGACTCAAGATCAATCCAATGTAGACTAAAGGAGCAAAATATCTTTGTTCTATGGATTCAAGGCAATGAATTTTTCAACTAAGACACGTTCTTTTTAGATTCAAGGTTGTGATTTTGCTTCTAGAATAGACAATCAAAGTTGAAACGTGATCAAGTTATCAATTTTTTAAATTTCTACTCTATCAACTTTACATCTATATTTGAAATGTATCTTTCAATCAAATTTAGTAAGGTTACGATAATGTTAAAATAGAGTCAATAGTGTATCCAAATAAAATATTAGTTTAGTAATCAAATTTCATTTGAATTAAATCAAGTAAAAAATGACCATCAAGTAAACAACTTCAATCACAATCTCAAAATTTTTAAAACATTTTTCTGATGATTCATTATATTTAAAAATATTTATCAAAATATATGAAAAATATTAGACTACAAAGAAAGTTGTATAAATTTAATTGATTAATGTGATATCAAAATCAATTAACTATTTAATAACATGACTATATAACATAGTGAGATTTAATACTCATATTTAGCTTTGCAAAATGTCATTGATTTGAGTGTCTTAGTCACCCCTTTTCTCATTATGATATTTTCTATAAATATTGATAATTTTCAAATTAATATGTAAAATAATAATCCACATACTAAAATAAATGAAATAAATAAATTTAGCATCATGGGTAGAATCTATTTAGTGAATTTTCATTTGAACATTTAATAAAAGTTATTTGAATCATATGTCAACACTTTCATATTTAACCTCATATCAATCATATCTAAAATTAGACATAATTTAACATTTTAATTGATGTTATATTTTTTTTCATCATTATAACATCATGCATTCAATAGCTGAATATTTATTACAATAGAACTGTCAAATAGGATGATAATTTTATGTATTTTTGATTTCATAATCTCAAGTTGTGATTTTATCTGAAAATTTTATCCACAATAATTACAAGTAGAGTCGTTTAATTTTAACTATAAGGTAATCAAATTTATTTTGTTGAGAACGAAGAGGTAAGGCATCCCCTTATAAGAGTCCACTTGTGATTTTTCTACATATTTGACTTCTAGAAAAGTTTAAATCGCAATATCCAATCAAATTCAAGTTAAACTCTTTGAGATACCATATTATAAATTCTGTATTGTTAGAAAAATAATTATAAATATATCCTACAACACTTATACGTAATTTCCCAGGATGTTTTGTAATCTAACACAAATATATCAACAATAAAGTATAAAATCAACTAGTAGATAAATATAGAGAAAAAATATTGCATTTATTGGCAGCTCTACCAACCTTCGATATTGTTCATATAATTATAATTTGTAATGTGATTATAAAGGTGTGCTCTTCGATTTCAAACCATCTATTTTAAATTTATTAAGTAATTATTTATATATCTTTCTTGGGAGATGAACATATCATTATCTAACTATTCTATTTTTAATCCAAGAAAGTGTTAATTTTCATATTTTGATGTTTTCAAATTTATTTTTAGTTAGTTTATAGAACTCTTCAAACATTCATTTTTTGATTGCTCCAACAATAATATCATATGTTGTTGGTTTGATATTCGGTGAATAATGTTTATCAAATATTCAACATCTAAATCCATTTTGTTGTACAAAGGAACAAAGGGCCTGTTTTAAAAAATGTAACGCTTGTTTAGTCTAAAGACATGGTTGGAGAAATTAGTATTCACAAATTTAACTAGTCATAGCATATATAGTTATTGTTTGATAATTCTATTAAGAAAAATGTTTGGTGTAGTTTGAAATGATAACATTTGTGAAGGCTTATAACATCTTGATAGTATCAAGTTTGGCCACAAGAGCATGGGTTTCTTCATTATTCATTACTCCTTGACATATCCTTCAGTTATAAGTTTAGCCTTAGCTTTTCTTAATTTACCATCTTCATTTAGTTTATTCCTAAATTTTCATTTTATTATACCATTTTGGTGACAAGGTTTATGAACAATATAACAAACTACATTCTTTAAATTAAATCATTTGTCAACTAAGAAAACGTCATCAATTTTTTTTGCTTATTTTTAAAATATAAAGGCTACAAATTGCTTGTCTATCTTTAGTGAATATCTAATTCTAATATCATCCTTCACATATTTCATAATATATTTTTTAGGGTGGCTCTTTAAATTCTGATAAATTTTCTTTCCAAGATTAGGTTCTATTATGAGCATCTCAACACTTGTCTCTCTTATTCTTTTAGTCTCTCTCCTAGGTTATCTACATTCTAATGTTTTTATCAATTTAACCTAGATGTATTCTTCTATTACTATTATCTTCTTGGTGTATATTCAATAGACTTTTGAGTTTTCTAAATATCCCTAGTAAATTCCTCTGTCATGGTCAAATAAAATATTCACAATCTTTCTTAACTCGTCCATTCTATTATTCAAAATAAACCATTTAAATCTAAATTCTCTAAAATACTGCACTTTGTCATTAATTTTCTCATTAGAGCTTTTCTAAGCTTTGATCTCATAAGAATATTTATGACATAGCATACAATGTTCATTGCCTCACTCCAAAAATATATGGGGAAATTATTTTCAATTAATGTTGTACTAAAAATATTCATGTGTTTTATTTTTCCGATCATCTCATTTTGTTCAAGTGTCCTAGAGAACTAAGAAGATTCAAATTCTTCTCCATTATCACTTATGACTTTCTTTGTAGGACATCTCATTTCATTTTCAATATTTTTAATAAAATTTATGGAATGCCTTAAAGTCTCATCTTTATGTGCTAAAAAAATAAACCTAAGTCATCATAAGCAAGTCCTCCTTGGTGACAAAACCAAATTTCCTTTCTCCAAAGATACAAATCTTGGATGGACCAAATAAATCAATATGTAACAAATCATTTGGTTTGATCAATAGTATTTGATGTATTAGTAAAAAACTTTCCTTAGTTTGTTCTCCTTTAATGGAGCTTTCATAAGTGTAGTCATTGTCATTTTCTCATCTACTAAGTCTTAAAAAATGTTATAATCGTCCATCATAGTCCCCATGATTGATAACTTGAGTTTAGATTACTCACCAAGACTCGTTACCTGAAATTTATGTACTATGACAATTGAAATATTTAGCATGGGCCCAAGTTAGGCCAGTGACCACCACATTTCCACAACTCAGAATTTAGTATACCTTTTCTTAACTTTCAACATGTTCTATGTCATCAAGGATGACTGAGATTGTCAATGGGCCCAATTACCCCTTAGGTCTGGCCAGATCCAATTTTCCTCTAGGCCCGGCCCGCTGGTATACCCCCAACGTATTTCTCTTATCAAGATAGATACGGAGTCTCCACTGGCCAAGTAAGCCAGGCCGGCCAAATCTGGCCTTTCCCCTAGTCACAGGGCAGGTAAGACCAGGAATCTAACATCACAAGGCCCAAGATCGGCTTAGCCCGAAAAAAGGAAAAGCATTTACTCTCAGAATGGAAAGAGCAAGCCTAACATAGATCACACACAACAAAATGGAAAGCCCGATATATGTGGATATGACACAACGGATGATAGACGTCCATAAGAGGATGTCCGATCAGTGTAGAGCTTAAGTACTTACACAGAAACCCATTTCCACTCCACAGCCATGGCGGCTTCTTCTTCATCATCATCATCTTCTTCGCTCCAGAGAGATACCCGATTCAAAGGGGAGGGTGGGCTCTCAATATCTGTCATCATCATCAACTATCGTGGGGTACATGCCCTTAGAATAGGATTCCTTCTCAGAATACACATCATCGAGTATGGTGGACCGCCGACTCATGAACTTGGATGACTTCTCAGCCTGCAAGAGGGCGGTCACTGTTTTACTGTAGAGCAAAAAGGTATAGATGGTGTTTTTGGAAAGACGATAAACCAGACGGAAATCCTGAGCTTTGCTTGAGGGCCCATAATGGAGAAGAAACAGGGTGGGTCAATATAATGGAGAAGAAACACCATACTATCCACCTTCCCACCTCTGGAATTCAAATCAGAAACAGCCTTTGTTCGACAAAAACAGTCTTAACAGGGATCAATGAGAATTCTCATCGGTTTATGGCCTATACTTCCTACAAACCAGCCGAGTTACTGATAAATCCCTCTCTATTTTTAACTTGCAATGTTACCAAGTCACAGCCTCCAACCATGCACGCAGTCACTGTGCAGAACAAAGCATAAGCTTGTTATCATCATTTTAACAGGTGTGGCAGCATTTCAAGATGATGGTCCCGTCACTTTACAACTAACAACTACGAGCTGGGTAGTTTTGAGGGGCCTACAAGGCAAGCTGAGAATGACGAGATAGGCTTATCGATAATTTTGATGCAACAGATAAGACAAAAAGTTATCAGAGGGCATACAATTAAAAATAAATTAGTAGCCTACCTTGATCATAAGTTTCTCTAAGGCCTCTGGACCATTCTCTTCAATGAACTTCTCCGCAGCAAGCAAGACGTCATCAGCTCTCTTGGACGCATCCTTCTTCCTGGCTGCAGACCAAAAGTTCACCGTGCGGATCGGAAACAGAGGCCTCACATAATGTTGGTAGACGTATGCAGCTCCACTGAAGTACGGCAAGACCAGCCAGCAGTTGAGGGCCAGCTTGAAATAAGACCATAAGGGAAGCCTGTGACACCGATGATGGGTAGCCGGTGAAACATTAAACTGGAAGAAAGGCCTTATGCGTTGAGCCCTTTAGGCAAAGAATCAACAACCCTAGCAGCAAAACACCCATTCTAAAGAATAATGACCTCGTGAAGCAGGCAAAGGCATGCGTACTATGAGTATTACATGGGTGAAGATCAACAGAGACATGATGAACTTTCCAGAAAGAAGAAACTATAACCAGATACATAGCCATCCCGCCATTCTCAAGCCTCGAAAGCAAAGGCAGAAATCGGCAACCTAGAAGACCATGAAAAATACTCACACGGTGCAATGTAATTAAAGCAAAATTTGAATAAACTTCCAGCCTGGGAAAAATAATGTTGATGCCTATACTCGACTATCTGTAGAAAGCAGCCTCTGATGAATTAAGATCATTCAGTAGGCTTACGGAGAACACATGAGCCTTATGTGTAACAACAACCAACGAAGTGGAAAATTATCGTAAGGATTCTCCACTGACATTACATGATTTTCGATCGGACAAATATGAAGAATAAATTAGATGAAGCCGAGTTTTTCACTCACAGATACGATGACTAACCGCCCAAGAAATACAAAAGAACACCCACAGTGATTGGTACATGAAATAGTACCAAAGGATAATTCTGCACAACCAAAATCTCGATGGTTCCCAGAAATAATGACTCTGTACCTTTTTCCATCAGTTAGGCTGAAGAATACATAAACTCCATTGATATGACAGATGAAGAAAACAGCTATTTAACCATTCCAAATGGCCTCACACCTCCCCTCTCTGAAATCCATATGGTGTCTCTTTCCTCCCATGACTCAAACTATTTCATACAAAAAGATAATTCATAATCTGTTCTTATTTATAAATTCATTGAAAGAATAAATTGTGTGTGCCTCAACCAGCACTGCCGAAAACAGCACTAAATAACAAGAAATAATCATCAAGTTTCAAATCTCACTGATAATGGAGGATTCCGATTAAGATTGAACACGTGAATCATGCCCATTACAGCGAGTGTGCTTTTTTTTGTTATTATCTTCCATCTTTTCTGGTGTGAGGAGGTGGGGTGTCCTGAGTTGCTACTGTATGGGGAAAAGAAGGACATTTAGACGAATGGGGCAAAATAAAAGGTTGATAAGAACTTACAATTCAAACAGCATATCAAATGTAAGCTCAACGAGCGTAATAAAAGAATACAGAACCCAGTATGTCAGCCACTGCCCATCATCAGTACGGGATCTTGTCTCAATTGCCCTAACCGAAGCATACCTGAGAGCAATATCAACATGTTCAGGACATCAACCCACTGACATAGAAAGAAGGCATTCCAACTGCCATTCAAGAGAGGAAGGAGAAGACTTACAAAGGATACGCCAAAGAAACCACTGGCCTGCAATTTACACACCAAGAGATAAGACCCTTCAGAATAATAAACCAAGTCTATAATATTTGGTACAGTTTGCTAAAATAAAATGGAGAACAAGGGAGTAGCCCCGACCAAGTGAGCTTTTCTTTTTTTCCCCTTCTTTCTTCGTTTGCTCCTGCCCCACTCTGCTTTCATTCCACTCACCAGTTTTCCTCTTTCATATAATGAAGGTTGGTTGACACTTCCCCATAATATTTCTTTTAAGAATATGAATAAAATGAAGCCAGTTGAACGATAATGATACTCGTAAGGATAATAATAAATTGAAGTCCAGACAGAATGGAAAACTTCAGGCGCATAAAAAATACACTATAATGAAAACTTAGAAAGAGAGAAGAACGGAAAATGACAAAAAAATAACAAAAGTTCGGCGCTAAGACCGGTGTCACACAGAATATCATAGATCAATCATAAGAAAAAAAAACAAAGATATGTTTTTGTTTGTCTCTGAATGAAAGAGAGAGAGAGAGAGAGAAAGGAAGAGAGATAGAGAGGTAGAGAGATAGAGAGAGAGAGAGAAAGGAAGAGAGATAGAGAGGGAGAGAGATAGAGAGAGAGAGGGAAAGGAAGAGAGATAGAGAGAGAGAGAGAGAGAGAAAGGAAGAGAGATAGAGGGAGAGAGAGAGAGAGAGAGAAAGGAAGAGAGATAGAGAGAGAGAGAGAGAGAGAGAGAGAAAGGAAGAGAGATAGAGAGAGAGGGAGAGAGAGAGAGAGAGAAAGGAAGAGAGATAGAGAGAGAGGGAGAGAGAGAGAGAGAGAAAGGAAGAGAGATAGAGAGAGAGAGAGAGAGAGGAAGCGAGAGGGGGAGAGAGAAAGGAAGAGAGAGAGGAAGAGAGAGATTTGTAGCGTACAAACGAACTTTACAAACGTGAAACTCTTCTTACTATGACTTTTCTCAAATAGGTTCTGGCCTACTAACAATTGGATAACCTACATGGCGAAGGGAAAACGAGATACTTCTTTTTATAATTTAACTCATCAGACAATTATGAAGCTTTTGCAAATCATAGAAGCCGAAGTAGCTCCCAATAACTGGCTTCAAACGACATGTGGAGGAAGCCAATGAAAAGCTTCGTAAGGTTGGAGAGGGAGGGGAGGGTTCATTGCACTAACCCGACAAAAATCTCCCCCGACCCTTCCCAATTTCAGCAGAGAAACCAATAATTCCTGACAATGAACAACAAGAATCCAGGCAGATTCCCAGGAGCCCTTCGAAAATCACCCCAGAAACACCAAGGCACCATCATTTCCGAACCCGAACGGCATGGAAGAACCAAACTTGAAGACATATCAACGACTTTAGGAGCAACAACGGCTTTAACAGAGGCATCGAATCGGACGGAAAACACAGCAGAGGGAAACGGGGAAAACCCCGTCCCTTCTCCATACGCTCCAGAAGGAACCACATACCCGGCAAAGACGTCGAAGTTCTCGGCCACTACCTTGAGGAAGGCGAACATCTCTCTCTCTCGCTGGCTGTGTCTCTCCGGACTTTCTCTTTCGTTCTCAGACTCCACAAAGGGAAAGCTTCAGGATGGCACGCAAATAATTACAAGACTTAAGTGGGCTTTTTATGTCTACATATCCTACAAAACGTCTGTTTCACTCATAGGAGACGGGAAGAGAGCGTCAAACGCTTGCCATATAAACACAAATGCCTATGTTTTTTTATAAATATTACGGTTCCACCCAGGGTCCCCTGGCGTCTCCTATCTGGGGTGCTGTGCAATCTTCTCCCCGAGTCCCCCAAATGAAGCCTACAGCCCACCATTTCTTCCAGGTGTTTTCCTAATAATGTGATCCCCAGTTAAAATTTTACTTTCTTATTTTAGCCGATCGCGTATCTCTCTAGATCTTACTGCATATTCAAATAAATGGTACCAATTGAATAATGGAGCCGGTGACAACAACGCCCCGATTCTCTATTCTCCCGCTGTTTAGGTGGGGCCAATGATTTTAAGAATTAGGAAATCCAAGGCCAGCATTTACTGGGTCAACTTATTCAAAGGCTCCTGACCTCTCTCTCTCTCTCTCTCTCTCTCTCTCGATATATATATATATCTAAAGCGCAAATTACTATGATTTTGAAACCATTTTCCGATAAGAATATTTTATGACTTTCTAGAAGAAAAATAGAAGAAAATGAAACATACAGAACTTCAGAGAATCTAGCAAGATATATTGCTTTTACTCTCCAATGAATATCGAAAAAGACTCTTAACCAGGGGTAATCCCATTCCCTGCATACATAAGTGCTCAAGCCAATCCACTCGAACTTCAGATTTCCAAAAGAGGGAGGCTGGCAGCTTCTGGCCTCAGGCCCCGGTGGTGCCGAAGAGGTTCCAGTCGTTGACCTTGAAGCCCGTGACAGCCAGACTGAAGATCTCAGAGGCTGGCAGGAGACCAGACTGTGCAGCAGGGATGGCAGGGCCCGTGCTGACTGTCATTGCGCTCTCACTCAATGGGCTGAAAAGAAAAGTTGCAGAAAAATTGCAAAGAAGCAGAACCGACCAATATTTAAAGAGCTAACATAAAACAAAATCTCCATTCATAAAATGTACTGCCACCAATGAAAGCTTGAAGTCCATGAGTGAGGGACAACCCTCAATGGTCAATACGATGGCACATCTGTATATCTGTGTATATGCATTTAAATGTACTGACAGTGCGCACACACACTCACACACAGAGACATGGGGTTATCATGCTAACCCCAACAACCAACTCTCGACGAAGTCAAGTATCTGCACCATCCTTCGTTTGCTTGGCAGAGAGAGATTCCAGATAGGAGAGTTTAATTTTGGGCCGCTTAGGTTGTTCTTTTATCACAAATTAATAAATAAAATTGAGGTGGGTTCATCAAATCCCTAAACCCTAAGCCCATTGGGGTTTGAAACAAGCATCCCTCTATTGAGTTTATAATGACTGCATCACCCCTTCCCCCTCTTCTTCCCTCCTCAACCACCCCCATCCGTCTCCCCTCTTTCATCTCCCTCCCCTTGAGCCCATTCCTTTTTCCTCTCCTCTCTTCCCAATGCCACTGCCTCAACTAAAAAGCCCACATCTTCTCTGCCAGGCCAGCCCCACTCAGGACCATGAAGATCAGTCTGTGCTTTAAGTAGACTCGTTGGGCCTGTTGTGGGCACAGATGATCTTCAGGAAGGCGGGCTGGGCTTGGCCCAGAGAGATGCCCAGCACATACATACACGTCCAATTGTCTCCCTGTGTGTGTATATAGATATAACTATATATATGATGTATATGCATGAGGCCATTAAGGGTGTAGGCTAATAATTGATGCTTACTTTATCATTATTGGCTCATAGACAGTGATCAGGACATCTGTTCCAACTCCTTTAAGACGCAAGTTCGCCAGATAAACCTGAGGAAGAGCAAAGCAGCAAGAGAATCTCATTAGTTGTCATCCATTTAATGAGATAAGATACAAGTCAGAAAAAAAAAAGCCAAAAAGACGATGGGGCTCACCCTCAATAGATTTCCTGCCTCTCTTCCTTGTCTGTCTTTGGAGATGACCTACAAAAAGATGTCGAATGGCATTAAGGAGAGAACATGGTATTTTAGAGAACAACTGCAGGCCCCCTTTATTCAAGAGAGACCCTGTTCCACCAAATATTTTTTGCCTTATTTACTCCTAGGCTTCTTCGGTTTTCAACAGAAATATCATCTTTTTCATTTGATTAGTTTAATTATCTATGAACCAAAGACACCTACTCAACTCAATCATCAGATTATAAGTCCACTTCATACCGGACCAGACCGTAATAGGGTTATGTACACTCTCATTATGAGAAGGGGTCATTTGAGCCTCTGTAAACAGATACTATGTTTACATATGGATCCCTACGTTGTGGCATTCTATTTAGGATAAGGAATGAGCGTAATCCGACCTGCTTTTGACATATCTACCATTATTTGGTTACCGTATTAACTTCTTTTGGCTTCTTTTGAATCTGGCTCGTATTGAAACGAAAAATAAGTTTTTCTAACACGATTTTTGCCTCACTTATCCGTATTCTTACATTTTTAAAATAAATATCAACTGTCTCTTTTATTTGACCAGTTTATGTAAACATGAACCAAAATACCTAGTAGAAGCCTAGTTCCTAAGATTTTCAGCTCAATTTTCTGTAGGCTTCTTCCATTGTAACATAAATATCGAATTTATATTGTATTTTTTCAACGAATTTCTACCAACCACAATGGGCTATTACCCTTCTAGAAAACAAGGCAAAGCCGAATTTATTATTTCCATTACATTTTTGTTAAAAAAAACTTGATCGCTTTCCTCAGAGAAGATATAATCATCTCAGAGGACTTGTGCAATCTGAGGACAAATCAATGTGAAGGCCAAAAATGATGATGGACAGAAAATTGCTACTAAATAAACAGAATTATCATCATAAAATTATGACTGTTAAACAAACGGCTGCGAATTCTAGCAGTTACATTCGACTACAGAAAACCCACATGAAGCCGAAGATGGCAACAAAAACATGCAAGGAAGCATTGTTACCATTTGACCGACAGCTGTTGTAATTGTAGAAGATATGCCACCGTGACTCAAAGGTGATGGCTCGACGGCACTTGTGTGCTCAAGAATCTAATCAAATGTTAAAGAAAACTTCAAGGGGTTAGGAAATAAACGGTACAAGAACGACGGGCTTGAATATATGAGAGAAAATCAAACAATGGACGATTTTATGTGGGAATTTTGCACCCATGACTTATTAAACAAAATGCAATCTGCGGATCCATTCTGAATTATGAAATTATGCCTTGAAGTAAGAATTTCAACAGAGCCTTTACTGAAATGATATGAATTTACAGAAGGGATTATAAGTTATTATGATCAAGAATTTCAACAGAAAATCTGCCATTGGAGGAACGGTAAGAAGCATGCTGATGAGAGGGAACAGCGCGAAGAAGAAAATTATTCAATGTGAACTGAATCCCTCACCATGCTGCCTTCGGCATCTTGCTCGGCGGCAAGGTCACGGAGGAACCACCCGGCGCTGCCCTCGTCACCAACCTCGTCTTTCAAGTCCAGAAGCTCGAATATTACGCTCTCATCACGGCTTGGATCGACGAACGCCTCCTATTCAAACGAACAAGGTGAACATTACCACGAATATAGGCTTACGATCCCCCCGAAAAGAATCCTCCACGAGGTCGGAAAACCGGGCGACTGTGCACGCCCACTGACCTGGTGATCGGGGACGTCCCGGACATTGCTGACATCCTGCATCTCACATGGCGGAAAGTAATCTCAGATTCCCCACGTACCCAGTCATCAGAGGAAGACAAGGAGGGGCGAGGTTGCCCTGGACCTGGAAGCGAAGCGGTAGTGTGCTGGAGATGGAGCCGCCGAAGAGTGGTCGCTCCGCGCAGGCTTCTCCAGCCATCTTCCTGCGGCCGCGGGACAGCGGAGGGGAGGATGTGTGAAGAAGGCTGAAGGTGCAGTAACATAACATCTGCGTAAGGAAGACGCAAGGAGACCTTGCAGGTGTCGACGATCTGGGCCCGGTGACTCGGTCTGCTCGCTTCTTGTATCCCCCGAGTCGACTCACGATTTTTGTGGGGTCCACTATGTCCCAGTGGCAATTCTAGCAATGATCGTAGGACAGCGGGCCGGGCCGAAGCATTAAAAAGCCCGAAATATATTGTTCAAGGACAAATAACGTTAATTATAAGTCGGGGATTTGAGGACTTTCGGGCAGGGCCCTTTTTTAGCCTGACCAGCCCAAATAGTGTTTGGGCCCAATGCCGGTCCAAAGCAGATTTCGAACCCCAAGTCTAGGAAAAACAAGGTGTGCGTTGCTCGTTTTTATTTTAAATATTTTATATTTATAAGAATATCGTATATATAATAATTTTTTGTTGATAGTTAAGCGTGGCAACGGGATGGACTCTAGAATAAGTTTTCGTAAAATAAAAACTTTGGCAAGGATGGATAAACGGGCCTCGAGATGGCCAGCTTGAGCTTGAGATCTAGTAATCCTTTGACTTTTTAGAATTCAGCCATTGCGAAGCTATGAAAAATATAAAAAGCATCAAATTATAAGAATTATAACTATTTAAAAAAAATGTGTAACATCGGATAGAAAGAGCAATTTTTATTATATTATTTAAAAGAAAATTAATTTATTTGAGGTCAAAGGGGTAGCCATGGGAGGACGGACTGGATTGGGATATGATAAGAATTATAAGGAGGGTAGTTCGCTATTTGATAACTGTTATTAAGTATAAAATAAAAGTGCACTCTAGAAATTTCACTAATCTCTATTGGAGTTAAATGCCATAAAACCAAGTAACTAAAACATATTCATGTCACCAACCAGGATGTGTAGTATGTGTATACGTAAAGGATATATATTATTAAATAAATGTTATAAATAGAGGGCATTATTCCTCACTTTGGATTGTCTAAACTGCTATCACATCTTGGAAACCAGCGCCACCATCTTAATATAAATGATGAATGTCTTGGATCAAAAACCAAACAAAGGTTCCACTCTATATATGTATCCAATATTTTCAATTTTTTTGTCGGTGGGGTATTGGTTATTGCTGTTCTTGGCCTTGAGCATGGGCCCCACTTTGATGAAGGATTCCAATAATCCTATGGAGAGCAGTGCTAAGTCGAAAGATAACATGGTTTTTTTAATGCTTGAAACATAATTTAGTATTTTTTTATAATAATAAAATATTCATTTATTTATTTTGTTTAATATATCGTATCATACATTTGTATTTAATAAATGACATGGCTTATCTAACTAGAATCATTTAAAAAACTTATATTTATTTTATTTTATTTCTAACTAGAATAAAGATGGTTTTTACAGGGTTCAAAGCTGAAGAAAATTTCATTATTTTAGAATCAGTTTGCTTGTAAATGAAATGTACTGCTGTTGTTGATCCACGTGGCGCAGAAGAGCGTGAGTCCTAAGGCTATATAAACATATAATATTGATTTAGTAGAGAAAGTTACAAATATTGGGTTTGTTAAGGAACTTATTTGAAAGAAATATTTTTGTTGTCCCCCCCGACGCGTTTGGACAATTGCGGTCTAGCCCCTTCTCGGACCACTCCCAGCCCCCTCTCGCCTCTCTCTCTCTCTCGCTCGCTCGCTCGCTCGTTTCTTCCCAACAAGGCGACAGAAGAAAAGAAATCACAGGGGGGGGACGACTGCGGAGGGAGGCCATTCGCAGAGGCTACTACAAGATACCAATCCCTTCTCCTGGTAGAGGAATCCATCCCTCTGCTTTCTCTCCTCTCTCTAACCCTCCTCTCCTCCGTCTTTTCTCTTCCTTTGACGTTCCAGCTTCTCCGTCCCTGGGGAATTCCTCAAATACCAAAACCCTAGGGAGCCCTGCTGTTCAGATTCGGCTGCGGTGGAGATCGGTTTAAGATCTCTCCATTATTTTGAGCGGCGGCTTGATTTGGCTACGGTGGTGATCTGATTTCTGTTGCAGAAGATTTGTGGGAGAGAAAGAAGGATGAACACGCCGAAGAAGAGGAACTTTAAGATAGAGGCTTTCAAGCACCGGGTGGAGGTTGATCCAAAGTACGCAGAGAAGACCTGGAAGGTGCTGGAGCACGCGATACACGAGATTTACAATCACAATGCTAGTGGGCTCAGCTTCGAGGAGCTCTACAGGTTAGGATTGTCCCTATCACTTATTGCTGTAGTTGTTTTATTCCAAGAGTGAAGTTTTTCATCGTACAGTGCAATTTTTGGATTGTCTATGGTTACAAGGCTAGCGCGTGCGTCATAATTGCGCTCGTCAATGTTAGCAATGTTATTTCGATGCAGACGGTATGGTTTTTGTTGAAGTTTGGTGGATTTATGCCTCTTTATTGTTTATTTTGGTTTGGGTAAGGTGATTGACTGATGTTTTTGAATCTATATGTTTTCTCCATGGTGATATAATATGTGACTATCAATGTCTTCAGGCAGTGCTTTATCGTGAATAGTTCTGTCATTTCATTCATTGGTTTGGATGTCTTGCTCAACATTGAAGAGGTTCAGATGTGCGGCCCACACAAACCTGTTACATATGGACAAAATCTATTTCGTACGGAGATATTTGAGGGAACCATAGATGTTTGGATGGAAGATTAAATGGGAGGATGTATTGAGATAATTGGGACGATTTTTAGGGCGTGGAGCCATCAGAGTATGTGAAAGACATGGAAAAGGAGGAGAAGGCTATATAGGGGCTAGAGAAGTGGAAGTGAACAGATGTGTGGTGAACACAAGATCTCGTAGGACGAGGGGCTTCCTCCCTCTGCTTCACCCCCTGCAATCGGTTTTTAGAATCCATAGGCGTTCAAAAACCGAAACCCTAATTACTGGATGATCACTCTTGAAATTTCATTATCACATACCTCCCACAGTCGAATTGAACAGACCTAATACAAATCCAAAAATTTGTGTGAGATATATTTTGCCAATCTATTGCCATGATGCTACTTTACCAATCGATTCACAGGTCTCTGACATACTCATCTCCAACGATTTTCTAACAAGCGGCAATGAAACTTATAACTTGTTAAAATCTTACTATTTTCCAATTTGATCCGATATATAGCTTATTATTTTTTCCACTTTGAATGAAAAGAAAATGTTGAAATCGAAAGGAGAACAGATGCCATGAAAATCCCCCCGTTCAAGTAATAAAAGCATGATAGTCCCAAAGCCATCTAGATTCTTCTCTGGTGATGAGAACTCTCCCCTCATGGAAGAAAACGAGGTCCTGAGTAATGAGCCATAAAAACTTCTTTGATAAAATTTCGTTTACAGAAAAGAATTAATCCTAGATTTCAGGTTTTCCAATCTTTCATGATTGCCATTAATAAAGATAGCCTGAGAGCAGTGATAACCTAGGATCTGTGGTGGCTACTTTCCTTCGTAGCAATTTTATTTTAAGGCACTCTTTTTACGAGCAAATCAATCTTTCTGGGGAGCTAGTTCCCAGCCCACCATCCTTCCTAGCCTAGTGATAGCTCCGTGATGAAGGAGATAGGGGTGACGAGACAGAAATGAGATATTTCCAGAAGCAGGTACGCTTAAAAGAGTGCATAATATCTCACTGATCAAGTGCTCCCACCCCAATGATGAACCTGACCAAACAATCTGGCAAAGCTGTGGGACAAAACGACTAAATATTACAAGAACCTTTCTTTTGTTAGCCATTTTTTTGTGTATGGAGTTCAACTTCATCGGAAAAAAGAAGGCAAAGGAACTAAGAAAGAATGTCTCGATAAGGGGCTTTGAGTGACGACTGATTGACTAGGCTTTCCTTCAATGCAAGAAGCATCGAATTGTATTAGTGGGATAGCTTACTTCAATACTCCCCAAGCCAGGAAAGCTGGTGTTTGTGAGTGCGCTCACATCTGAAACTAATTACATTGCTCTTTACGATGCTAAAAATCATTTTTTTTGGCTACATTTGAAGGATGATATTTACTGGAGGCAGAAAGTTTTTATTTAGATATACTATGTAGATAAAAAATCTATAGAATAAATAAACTAGCCTCTAATCTCTAGTAACCAGTATAATATTGCATGGATTCATCACATATCCCCCAGACAGAGATTTGGAAACGTAGAATTCATGTTTTTTGTATAGGCCGATTTTATAGTTGATATTTCAGATAAAATAAATCATATCTCATAATTTTTTTCTTTTGGTAACCTATCTTTTATCTTGAATTTGCTCCATGAGAGAGACAAACGACTCGATGTCTCACGATTATCCAATTTATCTCTAGATTGGTGCCTATTTCATCATCGATCTTCTTCAGAAATATCTCCTCGTTTCATGTTTTTATAATTGATCCTCTGATGGATTTCTTTTCTATCAATAAACAACTCAAAGAATATCCTTCCCATCTCTCATCTGAGACATGGGCTCACAGAAGAGAACCTTGAGGAGAGAAAGAAAGTAAGAGTGGAGGAGGGGAAGGAGAGGAATGATTGAGAGGATGGAAATGATTATGTAGAAATGAAGACTTTGGCAGATCGGGTGAGAGACTCAATCGGTGGACTGACGACGCCGTGGATGTGTCATTTGAAGGTGATGAGTAGATTACAATTGAGTATTGCTTGGAAGGCTTGGGGTTGGCACCTTGGTGAGTGAGTTCACAACAATGGAAGAAAGAGAAAACGGAAGAAATCATTAAGATGGTGAAGTCGGTGAGGGAGAGGACGATAACACATTAGCATAGCTATCAGGATTATCAAATGGAGCATTAAGGGATGACACGTGAAGGAGAAGAATTGTGCTGTGGCAGCTCCTATTGCGATGTAATTTTGGCGTGCTTTGTATAGTAGAGAAAAATGTGAGGATGGAAAACAGGAGATTGTGAAGGGGTTTAGTTGACTGTCAACTAGAGGCATGGCTTTGCCAGTGGTAGAGAGATTAGCTGGGGAAGTGATCCTATGGAATGAGTACATGTCTGGGTAATAGGTTTCTTGTAGGAGAGGAGGCATTGCGATATCCAACCCTTTAGGATTCCAAACCGGGTTGTGGGGGATTTTTTGTTATGCAGACCCATTTGGGAATCATTATTGGTGATTAATGGAAAACCTTTCTGACCTGAAGTATAATAGGGGACTTCAAATTGTTATTACAGCTAAGAAGAAAAACATGGGATGCGATACACAGGGGCAAGATTGAACGCATCACAGACTACATTGCTGGGGTGACTATAATTGCTATATGCACTATCAGCAATCAGTGCAACTGGTGTGAACCCAAGGAAGACGCTTCTGATTACGGGTTGATAAGTTTCTTTTTTGCCAAGTTACTGGACACTTTTGGAACCCTGATAATGAAAACTAGTTCATATTACATCACTTGCCTAACTTTTTAAGAGCACTGTTTGTACATGAAGAAGCACATTTTCAGTTTCGGGAGGTGATGGTTGAGAAAAGGGGGGATGCACTGTGGTACTAAAAAGGACTTTGTTGACATGCTGAGGGGGGAGAGCAATCATCGGTTTAATACTAACATTGTTCTATGTGATACGCCTGGAACACCCAGAGGGACGAGCTGGAAGATTGACTTTTTCTAAAAAATAAGGGAGGGGCTCGATGCTTTTGAAGAAAGTTGTGGCAAATGAAGAAGACGCGCGAAACAAAAATGTGTCAAAAGTTTAGTGATATGTGAGACTACAAAGGGAAGAATGGTGCTGGTAACAAAGATGGATTGATAAACAAGTGAAGGGATCAAAGATACAACATATTTCCCCATGTTGATGTGAGGGTGGAGAATACTATTAGGGTTGTGAAGCATGGAGAGCAAGAGACTACCAAGGGAATTAGTCGGTGTAAATTGTCAGTATATCCATAGTATTCATGAAGGAAGATTGATGGGAACTTTAGTGGAGGAATCGATCCCCAAAAGATCAAAGGTAGAAGCAGGTGAGCATTGTAGGCCCTTTGAATCTGTGGTGTGAATGTATTGTTCTTGCTTCAGTAGGGAATGGATCAATGGATCCGAACGGTTTTACTTTAGTTGTTTTTCAATAGTTATATGGAGTTCTACAGAGGGAAAGCTCAGTAGAGGGTTTTCAAAACTAGATCAGACAGTAGATGATCTCTGAGGTCGTCAATTTGTTGAATGGGAGAACAAAGAATCATCATAGAAATCCTTGTAACAAAACTAGCGATAAGTTAGGCTCCATTGCACTGCTATCATAGGTTTTAGGACAATAGGGGACCAATGAAGCGAGCCAATCATCTCACTCCTTTGGCGATAAGACATGGGACCTTGACGAAACCCACGGACTGGCATTTTTTGCAGACAATGGACACTAGTAAAACTGGTTTTGATTAAATTGGCAGAGGGGAGTGCCCCTGTTATTAGAGCTGCTGATTGGTTCTCTCATGGTTTGAACATCAGGAGATTTAAGTTGTCTTCTCAGTATGCAGATCAGCAAGCGAATGTCTCTAGACAAGCCGCTGATGTTTTCCAGCATTCACACTCTCATGTGTGGTAGTTTGACGTATGAAAGAATACCCCTGATGCATGCCATAACATTAAGTCACGGCAATTTCTTCGGTCAGGGCATATTTTAAAAAGGAAAATCAATAGTCATCACATGAATTCATTACGACTGAGATCCATGATTACAATCTCTCAAATTCAGGAACGCCTACAACATGGTGCTGCACAAGTTTGGAGATAAGCTTTACTCGGGCCTCATCGCCACAATGACGTTGCACCTGAAAGAAATATCCAAGTCCATAGAGGCCGCTCAGGGTGGTCTGTTCCTCGAGGAGCTCAACAGGAAATGGGGAGAGCACAACAAGGCGTTGCAGATGATACGGGACATCCTGATGTACATGGACAGGACCTACGTCTCTAATAACAATAAGACACCTGTTCATGAGCTGGGGCTGAGCCTGTGGAGGGAGCACATCATCCACTCTGAGAACATCAGGTCGCGGCTGCTCAACATGCTCCTGGAGCAGATATACAGGGAGCGGACGGGGGAGGTCATCGATCGGGGGCTGATGAGGAACATAACCAAGATGCTGTCGGACTTGGGGCCGTCGGTGTACCAGGAGGACTTTGAGAAACCCTTCCTGGAAGTCTCAGCGAGCTTCTACAGCGGGGAATCCCAGCAATTCATCGAGTGCTGCAGTTGCGGCGAGTACCTGAAGAAGGCCGAGAGGTGGCTGAATGAGGAGATGGAGAGGGTGACCCACTACCTGGATCCGAAGAGCGAGCCCAAGATCACGAGCGTGGTGGAGAGGGAGATGATCGCCAACCACATGCAGAGGCTGGTCCACATGGAGAACTCGGGCCTAGTGGACATGCTGGTCAACGACAGGTACGAGGACCTGGGCCGGATGTACAGCTTGTTCCGCCGGGTCCCCGACGGGCTGTCGACGATTCGAGATGTGATGACCTCCCATCTTCGGGAGAAGGGGAAGCAGCTTGTGACGGACCCGGAGAGGCTGAGGGACCCAGTTGACTTCGTGCAGCACCTTCTGGACGAAAAGGACAAGTATGACAAGATCATCGGGTCGTCCTTCAACAACGACAAGACCTTCCTGAACGCGCTGACATCGTCGTTCGAGTACTTTATCAACCTCAACGGGCGAGCCCCCGAGTTTATCTCCCTGTATGTGGATGACAAGTTCCGGCGGGGCCTGAGGGGGGTCAGCGAGGAGGACGTGGAGGCGGTCCTCGACAAGGTGATGACCCTGTTCAGGTACCTGCAGGAGAAGGATGTGTTCGAGAAGTACTACAAGCAACATCTGGCCAAGCGGCTGCTCTACGGGAAGACCGTATCTGACGACGCGGAGAGGAGCCTGATCGTGAAGCTCAAGACGGAGTGCGGCTACCAGTTCACCTCCAAGCTGGAGGGCATGTTCACCGACCTGAAGACCTCCCAGGACACGATGCAGGGCTTTAGCGCAGGCCAGGGCCCCGAGGCCGCCGGCGAGGGCCCCGCGATCGTCGTGCAGGTCCTAACGACGGGGTCCTGGCCCATGCAGCCCAGCGCCGCCTGCAACCTCCCGGCGGAGCTGCTTCCCGTCTGTGAACGGTTCCGGGCCTACTACCTCGGCACGCACACGGGGCGGCGGCTTTCGTGGCAGACGAACATGGGCACGGCGGACCTCAGGGTGGCCTTCGCCAGAAACCAGCGGCACGAGCTGAACGTCTCGACCCACCAGATGTGCATCCTGATGCTGTTCAACTCCGCCGACCGCCTGGGCTACCGGGAGATCGAGCAGGCCACCGAGATCCCAGCCGCGGACCTGCGGCGCTGCCTGCAGTCGCTGGCCTGCGTGAAAGGCAAGAACGTGCTCCGCAAGGAGCCCATGAGCAAGGACGTGGGCGACGACGACGCCTTCTTCGTCAACGACGCCTTCGCCAGCAAGTACTACAAGGTGAAGATCGGCACGGTGGCGGCGCAGAAGGACTCAGAGCCGGAGAAACAGGAGACACGGCAGCGCGTGGAGGAGGATCGCAAGCCCCAGATCGAGGCGGCTATCGTGCGCATCATGAAGTCCCGCCGGGTCCTGGACCACAACAACGTCGTCGCCGAGGTGACCCGCCAGCTACAGTCCCGCTTCCTGCCCAACCCCGTTGTCATCAAGAAGCGCATCGAGTCCCTCATCGAGCGGGAGTTCCTCGAGCGCGACAAGGCCGACCGGAAGCTCTACCGGTACCTCGCCTGAGATTGCACCGCCTCCCCTCCGGTCTCTCTGCCATCTCACTCCCTCCATCTCTGTGTGAGCGAGGGTCACCCCTCCCTGGCTGCTTAATGAATCCCCCGCCCCCCTCTCCCTCTGTCTCTCCTTCCTTCCCCTTCGGGGGGAATTTGCAGCTTTTTCGTCTTCAGGGGATCGTTCTTTCATGTCGGCATTCTCCACGAGAAGAGCCCTCATCCAGAAGCAATCCTAGCCCCCTCTCAGATTTCCTGCATCATTGGTTTTCTCTCTCTCTCTCTCACCCCCCCCCTCTCGCATCATGGGTACCCTCTTTCTCTCTCTCTCTCCGCTTCAACCTGCAAACCCGCCTCTTTCTCTCTCTCTCTCTCTCTCTCTCTCTCTTAAATTCATCGCCTTTCTCGTCATCACTCTATGCTGTCATCCAAAAGCCGGAGAGCCTGGGCAGCGCGGGCGGAGGTGGAGAGGGACGAGAAGAGATACCTGCGGCAGTCCAGAACCCCGCGCCCTCGTGGCGCAATGGCACCTGCCCCAACCATTCCCTCTTCTCCGGCACCAACACCACCCCACTTCCACAGCCCCACTGCTGCCGCTGCTACCCCCTTCACCCCGCTCTTCCCCTCCCACTCGGAGATCCTCTCCATCCGTGAGTCCCTCCTCTCCCGCTCCAAGGAGGCCGTAGATATCGCTTCTGAGTACGTGGAGGAAGCTACGGGCAGTGCTGAAGCAGGCCGAGGAGGTGGACCGCGCGGTGGAAATAAGTGGACCGTGCTCGTTGGTGTCAAGGATAGTAGCTGCACCGCCGACATACCGTCGACTGGAGGGTCGAGAATCCTGGAAGGCTAATATTAGGCCAGCGTTCGATGGCACAGCTGTCCAGGGGCTGCGGGAGAGCGGGGCTATCATCGTCGCTATGGCTATATTATCATAAAGATTGGTTCTAATAGATCATGACGGATTTAATACCTTCCTTACGATTGACTTAGATTTCACTATTGTATAAGAACATCCTTAGAGTGAATTCAGTTTTTATAAATATAAAATTTGAAACCCTACACCCACAACGACTTGAAGTGACCATGCATCACTTTTTATTACAGTTGATCAGATGTTTCACATGTGAAGAATATTAGTCGTTGAGTTTAAAATCCTATTTTTCAAGAAAATTTATAACTTAAACTTTATGTAAATTTTAGTATAAATGGAAGTCTTAGGTCAAACATAGGGATAAAGAATAACCTATCATGAAAATTATTTTAGCTTTTAAGGTATTTTTTTTAGTGTTTTATCACGAATTAATAAAAAGAGAAATCATTAAAATACTAAGAGAGCTTAAGAAGATTAGAGATTTAAGAGGAAGGAATAGAGAGGAAATAATGGGAGATAGAGAGAGAGTGTAGGCAGATTTAGAGAAAATTCTAGTTATAAAAGAGAGAGGAGATGATGAGAGAGAGAGAGATAGATAATTTAAAAGAATAATAAGGAGAGAGAAACATTGATCAACCCATTTTACAGTGATTTCATTTTGCTTGTAACTTGGTTTGACTATGTTTCTGAGATGAATGTGAGATTCAAGAGTTCACACACAAGATGTGAGATCATGTGTGAATGTCTTTAAACCGTTTTGAAAGATTAGGCACTAGATAATCAACTCTTAGTCTTATTGTTATGCGTTAACATCAGATAAATATATCAATTATTTTGACTGAGTTTGTAGGGCACCAACAACATGATTTTTATAGAATCGATTGTGAAAACTAATGGATAATAGGTTGGAAATGTCCTACAATAATCTTAGAGGAGTTACAAATGATTAGGAGAGAAAAGAATGTCGTTCATTCAATTGCATATTAGTTCTTCAAGTTTTTATCAGAAAACATATAGTTCACATAAAAATAGAAATAAACAGTTGGAAAAAGGTAAACAAATGCTACTTGATTGATGTGTCTCTTGAGCAGCTAGAGATGCCATTGTGGCAGCTTTGAATTGTCCAAACATGTCACACCATATCGAAAATCATAGAAGTTTCCTTTGGAAGCATTGTACCCCTTCCATGAGAGATCTGCAAAGAAGAAGATATATGACACTATCACTGTCGTATGAGATGGAAGAGGATGAGTTGGCCACTCACCAAAAACCATGAGTGCATTGGAGGGAAGAAGGAGCAAGCTCGTCGATTGCTAGAGGCTTTGATCGCATAGAGGGAGGAAATAATGGATGCCGTATTTACAGCTATCTATGAGTTTTATGTTGCATGTGATGATAATTAATAATCTATTTTACTAGACAAAAGTCGATAATATCATTTATATCTCAAAAATAGTCGTAAGCTCACTTAAATTATTAAATAATAATAATAATACAAGGAAATACATGTTAACTCCTTTAACTTCTAACTTCCTAATTTAGTAATGTATTTCTACATTTCTTCTAAAAACCAACACATGAACATACATAAGTAGAATAATTTAAATACCAAAAATCTAGAGTTAACAACATGTCTAGGCAATGCAACTCTATTTTTGCCCAAGTTTGGAGATTGAAAAAGAAGTTGAAGAGGATGTCCCTCACTATATCAATGTGGTGAAGCCAATAAAACATATGCTTGGATGTCTATGTACTAATCAAAAAGAGGAATTTATCCTTAAGCTCTATTACAAAGTCTTCCTATGTAGAAAATGGGAGCTTTGACTAAGTACAACACTCAAGTTATCCACCACATTTTGGCATCTACCAAGAGGTACATACTCTCAAGTAGGACTTTCTCTATTTCTAACATGTGCCCCAACCAAGTCTTGCCTTGAGATTTAGAAGAAGCTCTCAATTGCTTGGACATTTCAACCCCTACTTTAGGTTTAGAAAGCTTGACATGCTTTGAAATCTATTGATGGTGTGCCAACTATCATGCACTCAGCATTATTACAAAAGGGCCTCAACACCTGTTGCAACTTGCCAATGTTTGGGCTAGCCTCTAACTTATTTCCATTGTAGGTAACCTCTGTTGTCACTATTGAAAAGATATTATCTCTTATTGATGCTTGTTTATGTACACATATGATTTAAATGTCTAATATATTATTATTTTAGTTTAATGATTATGATATCATTAAATGACTAAATTCGAATTTTTAATCCTTGAAATTAAATTATTTTCTATTTCAGTATTACTTAAGGATAATGAAGTATGAAAATAATAAATATCAAAAGGTGAAGTATATGGTCATATGATTTGAGTCAAATCACGTGTTGATATATTTGTGAATGTAAAATAGTTTTTCTGGATTATATATGTGATGATCTAAGGGTAGTATTATAGAGTTTATATATTCTATATATTTTTCTCATAATATAAGATGTTCTTTGAACTATCATATGCATTAGTCTGAAAATAAGAAATAGATAAAAATTCAAGTCCATCTCGACAATGACACATCAAATGCTTATGTAGGTATAAAGAGAAGTAAAAACTTGAAGATTTAAAGCTGACATGAATATCAAATTGTTGTCCATCAAGCTAGAAAACTCCAATTCGTATTTGAATTCAATGACTGAAAAATATGGAAATTCAAAATTTGCAAGGTTGAAATATAGTTACCATACATTCTAGAAAAAATGCATCTTAACATTAGAGATTTCAGAAAGTGGGAAATTTGTGCAAGAGTAAGTTCAATATATCAAGAAAGATTTTTACATGGAGACATCAAGAAAAACATTCACGCCATATGTGTCAACAATAAACAAATCACTTCATACTCTTCATGACTTTGATTCGGAAATTGAACAGCTTAACAATTGCAATGAGGGCTCTCCATAGGTTATGAGGTAATTAGGTGATGAGGGAAAGGTAATTTTGACAAAAGTGTTAGGTGCATGTCTTGCTAAAATTTGACTTGAGGGAAAAGTATATTTGACTTGAGATGGACTAAGTCTCTATGACATGAGATTTGGGCTGCTTATCTTGTAAACATTAGTGTACATTTATGAGGGAAATAATTAATATTAGAGGATAATTTTCTCCATCTAGGATTAGAAGTAACCAAGTGAGGGGTAAACTAAAATAAAATTCGTATTATTTGTGAAATTGTGTTAAGTGGTCTTACCATCATGAACAATCTTTATATAGTAGTTGACGTATTTATCTCTTTGCATCATCAATAGATAGATATACTTTGAATAAGAACTTATTTGAGTAGTTAAAAATCATCAAAATTTTCAGAAACCACAATTTACGTGCATGCTATCTACTTGTGTGATGGCATTGAGCATTTTCCTCAACTCTTAGCTAGATCAATAAGAATGTCTCACACCAAAAGGAAGAGGAAGCATTCTAATAATAAAAAGAGATTAAGGAAGAATGAGGACCACTTACCTACTCAATTAGATTAAGGTATGCCCATTTTATACAGAGAACATGCACTAAGGGCATCAACTTTCACTTGACCTTTTGACATTATAGTTGACACCCTACTCTCCCAAATGTGTATGTGACCATTGATGCTCAGCTGTGCTTGATGGTTGAAATTTTTGTGGGTTCACTACTTTTCTTGATGGTGGATTGAAATATTCATGGCTTACTCCTCTCAATTTGACAGACCCATTGATTCCCCATACCCTATGATATAGTCATCAAGGTTACTTCATACTTGATATTATTCTATTAGAAACTTCTACCTATCCTTCTACGTGGATGAGTGCAAGCCTGCATGATTTATGTATGTCATGTTGTGATGTTATGTGCTGCCCACCTTGTGCTCTTATGCACCTTCCTCATAAGATCTTGGTTCCACTACTTTATGCATGTTGTATCCATACCACCACATGCCATTATGCACATTACATATGCCATACATGTGTGGCCACATGCCTACATAAATGTCATGCACATCCACCCTTTGTCTTGATGTGTCTTAATTATTGTATTATAAGAAAATCAAAATTAAATAATTTATAAACTGAATTTCAAAACATTTTCAAAAAAATAGTGGAATCAGGTCATCTCTAGAAGGATGAAAGGAAAAAGTGTGCCTTTGATTCATTCTCCACACTTATTATAAATTAAATATCTAAGTAATTGAAAGGGAAGATAAGATATCTTCAATCACCAAGTTGTTATGGCTAAACTTTCTTTTCTCTATTGACAAGAACAGTTCTTTGTTTAGCTCCATATCACCTCTAGATCACCTTTGACTCATGCTGACTTGTGGAATTTTAGAAGACAACTTGGAAATAGAGAAATTATTTACTAGTGGTGAAACAATAGAACAAATGATCTATAGCTCAATGAGATCTAAAAATGATAGAATAATTACAGAGAAAAGAGCACTGCCCATGCCCCTCTATGTCTCCATAGTGAAGAACAAGATGTCCCCTCTCCCCAAAAGAAGGGAAAATCCAACCAAAAGAGAGAGCCCTCTTTCTTCCTTCTTCCTCTCTTTTAATTTGAAAGATATGATGGAAAAATATGATGAAATGGTGAAAAAGTTCAACTTTGATTGCTGGCCATTTTCCCTTTAGCATGAGTTCATATTAATATTAGATAAATTTAGCATGAGTTCATATTAATATTAGATAAATTTTACCTTATTTATCATATAAGATTAGAGTGTGATCATGTATTACATGTTTGCACATGTACCACATATGCTTATACATGCCATGTCCCTCCACGCACACTACTCCCATGCCACTACATGTTTGCACACACGCTATGTATGTCCTGTTGTGCCATCGCACACCTCTATACGTGTGATACATGTTCATGCACGTCGCATTATGCCATGCATGTGGCAATGCACCTCTCCGTGCACTCATGCATGGGAGCATTGTGTCGTGCTCAACCTTGTGTTCTGCACTTGTAACTGGCCCATAGCTTTCTGTGTCAGAGGTCGAAGCCCAAGAACGACTGGCCTGGTGGGCAGGCTGAGCCTTGAAGAGACCAGGCCTTGGGCTTGCCGGGCCCATTAACACCTCCCGCGGCGATCATGGTCTCGTTCTCCCAATTTGCATTGGAAAACTAAAATCTCCGATCCACACAAGCACAAGTTGACAGCCGTAAATCCAGTGTCGCCTGCAAAACCTCTTTTCTCTTCTCTCTCTCTCTCTCCCCCCTAAGTTGTCATCCAAAAGCCGGAAGTGAGAGAAAGAGCCAGAGCAGCGCGGGAGGAGGAGAGATGCCTGCGGCAATCCAGAACCCCCGCGTCCTTCTGGCGCAATGGCGCCTGCCCCACCCATTCCCTCCTCTCCACTACCATCGCCGCCTCTACTTCCGCAGCCCCACTGCCGCCGCCGCCGCTGCTGCCAACTCCTTCTCCCACTCGGAGATCTTATCCATCCGCGAGTCCCTTCTCTCCCGCTCCAAGAAGGCCGTAGAGATCGCTTCTGAGTATCTGGAACGTCTCCGCCTGGCCGAGCCCACTGTCCGGAGCTTCCTCCACGTGGCGGAGACGGAGGAAGTACTGAAGCAGGCCGAGGAGGTGGACCGCGCGGTGGAAAGGGGAGAGTCCTTGGGTCCTCTCGCCGGCGTGCTCGTTGGTGTCAAGGATAATATCTGCACCGCCGACATGCCGTCCACTGGCGGGTCGAGGATCCTGGAGGGCTACCGGCCAGCGTTCGATGCCACAGCCGTCCAGAGGCTGAGGGAGAGCGGGGCTATCCTCATCGGGAAGACCAACTTGGACGAGTTCGGAATGGGCAGCACCACCGAGGGCTCGGGATTCCAGGTCCAGCTCCTTGTGACTTCCCCGTTCTGCAGTACAGCTTTATCGATTCTGTTTTTGGTGGAGTTTTCTGTCTCCAAGTTGTTCTATGCAATTGAAAATCTGATCAGGAAAGAAGTAAATTCACTAAAATTAGGCAATGGATTGCCTCTATTTGTCTCCTGATGGTGGGTTCAGGATTATAGACGACATATGGGAATGAAGTGCTTAAAGGTACCATGAAATTGCTTTGATAGCTAAAGTTATGTATTGGCGGGTGGGTTGAACTGAGAGTAGACTAGCCGAACCACAATCGTTTTGTTTCTTCTTCGCTCATCCCAAGACAATCAATGAAAGGCTGTCTGGCAGTTGAAGTGCTCTGTATAAAATTGTTTTAAACTAATTCTTTAAATATATTCTACACGAATTATTCTTCCTTTTCAGTTCTTGTTCGATTCACATGAACCGATAAAGTAAGGTTAGTTTACCCCGCACAGATCTTTTGACCTTCTTTATCTCATGTGAAGATCCACATGAACTATCTGTGTTATAGTCCTACGCGTATTATAGGGCTCATAAGAAACACATGCTAACTGGAACAGATCACAGAAATAATTAGACCGAGATTGACAAGATGATCATGTTAGAATCGTTTTATTGTATTTAGTGTTCACTAGTGTACTATTTTTTTTTACATTGTTTTACCGATATGGTAGCTATTGGCACCAATGATGCAGGAAACTGAATAATTTTCAGGTGACCGCAAACCCTTGGGATGTAAGTAGGGTTCCTGGTGGGTCTTCAGGGGGCTCTGCTGCTGCTGTTTCTGCAAGACAATGTGTAGTTTCCTTGGGAAGTGACACTGGTGGTAGTGTGAGGCAGCCAGCATCATTCTGTGGTGTTGTGGGAGTCAAACCAACATATGGGCGTGTCTCGCGGTTTGGGTTGATGGCATATGCGTCATCATTAGATGCCATCGGATGCTTTGGATCATCAGTGGTCGATTCTGCAATAATTCTAAATGCGATATCTGGTCATGACAGATTGGATGCCACCAGCAGTAAGCATGTACACATCTTTCTCTCTTTTGTCTTTTTACCATTTTGATCTTGTGATTCTGAGAGAACATTTTTACGATAATGATTATATTTAGAATAACTTCTTGATATGCTTTGTGGGAAAGATTTCCTCATCATTTAGCTAATAAATATATCTGCCAATGGGTGTTGACTTCTCACTCTCAGCAATATTTTATGCATCCGATCTTCAGACAACCATTGAAATGCGCTAATTATTTTCATGTCAATAAGAAAGTACATTATTTATCAGGGACTTATGTTTATGTTGTGTTCTTGTGATCATACTTTATTTGTTCCAAACATGAAGAGTCTTGTCATCATGAACGCTGTTATCCATTCTTAGAACTTTACCCATATCCAGTACTTCTGAATGTTCTTTCCCTACATCAGTTTATACCGTGTTTATGTATTATACGAGTAAAGCTGATTTCAAATTAAGGAATGCTATGTTGATCATGGAGCAGCAGCCGACGACAGTAAATTCAAAACTTGAAAAGTGTGGAATTTTAGGTGAGGTTTGTGGGAAGATATGATTTTCTTTTCAAAAATGATGCTGAACTTACACATGAGTGATGAATGTTGCTTTTTTCTTTGCTCTCTTTTTGTTGGTAGTGTTGGTGGTTCTTGTCTGCTGCTCAGATATGTTGGAACTTGTTAGAGATTAAAAATTCTGCCATATTCAATTCTTGGTTGCCGCTAGCTTCACAAGATCCTACTAATTCTTCTCAGGATGTCCCTGATTATGTCACGGAGCTGATATCCACTGATAATATGGGTTCCAAACCTTTGAAGGGAACCAGGGTTGGCGTGATCCGTGAGACCCTTGGAGAGGGCGTTGAGGGTGAAATAATATCCTCTATTCAGGCTGCGGCATCCCATTTGGAAGAGCTTGGCGCCGTAGTATCAGAGGTGTTCCTCTGATAAATTTTTTGAGGCTTCATTGCTTATGAAAGGATAAGCTTACTCTCTTTTCCTTTGGAAAAAAATGCAGGCGTCTCTGCCCTCCTTCTCTCTGGGTTTACCAGCATACTACATCCTGGCCACATCTGAGTCATCCTCAAACCTGTCCCGTTATGATGGCATAAGGTAGCTACTTTTCCTTTGACAGCCTGTGAATACTTGCGTCTCTTGGGGTTGTCATGATTCCTGAAAGAGTTCACATGAACTCATTAGGTATGGGAAGCAGGTTCCAGAGGATGAGTTGGCCTCTCTTTATGGAAACTCACGTGCAAGTGGGTTTGGTTGTGAGGTATTTGTTAATCTTTGCTTATCTTCTGGAATAGAATTTGGTCGATCTGCTACCGATATGGTTTCTCTTAAGGGAAATAAGAGCACCCTGCATTGGACCGAGGCTTCTGAGTAGAGCTTAAACTTTGAAGGTCAACAATATTTCGGGCATTTTGATCTTGTCAGGTTAAAATGAGAATTTTGATGGGTACCTACGCTTTATCTGCTGGATACTACGATGCATACTACAAGCGTGCTCAGCAGGTACCATTGCCTCCATAATAGAGGGAAGAAGATAGGGGCCAAACAGATTTATGTCGTGAATTGTTTGTGGCAGGTGAGATCCCTAGTTCAGAGGAGCTTCAAGGAGGCATTGGATGAGAACCATATCCTCATTTCTCCAGCAGCACCATCAGCTGCATATATGATAGGTGCCTACCCACTTTCAGCTTGTGACTTGGCTTTTGATCGTCTTTATGAAGGCAGCCCTATGATTCTTTTCAGTTCTCCTCATTTCCTTATTTCAATCTCTCATATTAGCCTTGTCTTCTCTTGGAATCGTTCGTTTAATCGTTTTAGCATTTTTTCTGAAAGGATCGACCTAGAAACCCCCATTTTCGTTCAATCGTTCTGTGGTGTATTACAGCTTTCGAAATGTGATTAACCTTTTCAGGTGAGAAGATCAACGACCCTTTGGCTATGTACGCTGGCGATATCATGACTGTAAGATTCCTGGTGCCCTTTGACTTTCGCCTGTGGTCTTCTTTTAATACAAAATACGGCTCTCCCATTGCATACTCCCTGCATCAATTGCGTGAGCCTTGATTCACTGCCGAAGCTGCTTTCCACGCTTTCTAACTTGCACTGCCACCGTACTGTGTAAATTAAATTATTTTCGTTTAATAAGACTCTAGATAATGTGAGGAGAAATACGAATCACCAGAAAAGCACCTGATCATGATCCAGTTTGTGAGAACTTAAATTCTTGGGGTTGAATGGTTCTGACTCTCGGAAAGTGATTCGGTTTGCATACAGAGTCATGATCTTTATACGTGGAGATATTCCTGACAGCCTCCAACGTCTAGCTTGGACAACCGTGCTTCATCGTCCATGTGAAATACGAGATATCTACTGAATCCGTGCAGAGTCTAGTCAACAGCTCTGCCGCTGCTCATTTGTTTATGGGTTGAATGAAACAAGGTAGGGACCAAGGAGAAGAACAGGGAAGGGTGAGGGGGTTGGGTACGCAGTGTTTCACCCAAAAGGATTTCTCTTACCCTTGGCAGTTACCCTCATCACTGCCATTTCTTCAGACACGCGGGTTTACCCTAAAAGGAGTCCAATCTCGTCTTACCAGAGGAAACGACTGCTTGCGTCTTATAATCCTGCCCCCTCGTACCTTGGACGACAGACTATGAACTACAAAACCAAAATCATGAAGACTTTTACTTTTACTTGACGCATCGTCCTTATGACTATGGTTGCTGTCGATCTTGTTGATTATTACTATTTTTGTCCTCGTGATCATCGTATTGGGGACAAATATCGGATTTAGGCGCGTGAGTCGCCTCAAAGACTGTAAGAGAAAACGGCAGATCTCTGAGCTCACTTGTGATCCGCGCAGGTCAACGTCAATTTGGCCGGGCTGCCCGCTCTAGTCGTCCCCTGCGGGTTCGTTGGAGGGCTCTCACCCCTTCCGGTGGGGCTTCAGATGATTGGTGCCGCATTTGACGAGGTACTTGGGACTACCGGGACGATTTTACTCATCAGTTTGTTCGGGCTAATATCCTCTTTATTCTCTTGCTTCGTGTTGCAGGGGAGGCTGTTCAGAGTCGGCCATGTCTTCGAGCGGACGCTCAAGGGCCACAGATTCGTCCCACCGACAATGGCTCTCTCCGGATGCTAGACAGGCTCAACAACGAGCTACATACATCTCATGTGATGCTGTCGGGCCACAAGTTAGCTCAGCTCGCCTCTTGGAGCTTTTTTCTCCTAAAAAAGGCATATCATCTCAAATTTAGCTTGCAGCTTCATCCTTCATTTTTTTTCCTGCTTCACGGGCTCTTCCCACCACATTGTTTTACATTTTTCCTTCTAAAAATTAAACCCTGAGAGCATCATGTATCGGAGAGGAAACCTCATAACGTTTTAAAACTGAATAGCCAGAACTGAAGGCCATCATCTGTAAGACGCAAGCATACTGACTGCTATAAACTATTCCCTAGAAAACGAAATCTCACCAAAATGCCCATAAAACAAGAGGCGCGATCATTGTACATCCCAAAAAAGGAACTCTCTCTCTCTCTCTCTACACACACACACACACACACACACACACACATATTAGGCCATCTATGTAGCAATCTATCTCTGCATTTGGTGATGGATAACTGGGAAAAGAAAAGCCTGCAGCACCCCACAAGAAAGGGGAAAAATTAGACGCCAGATAATTGAAAATCTTTTTACGACCCTGGAACTGATTTCTGGCCGCTCGCATGGGGCCTGAGATGGGTTTGAAGCGCCAGCTTCAGCCGTCTTCTTCCTCATCATCCTCTTCCTCCTGCTCGTCTCCTTCCTCATCCGTGCCCTTTCCCTGACCATGTAAATCAAAGATCAGTGAGATGAATGTCTGATCGACTTCTATATGAGAGTAGAACGCGGGTGCTCCCCTTGCTTGCTGACCCCAAATTTAACAGCACGAACACGGGCCCAGGTCAGGCTAGATTGCATTGCTTGAAGCGGTAAGTTTGATTCAAAAAAATGTAGGTGATCTTAAGGCGGAAGAACCTTGGGTGGACTGCCGACAAGATCAACCTTCTAAAATGCTGCGTTGAGGTGACAATTTACCTTCTAAAGTGAGATCACTCACGCTTCTTAAGAAAAAAAAAAGACCCAAACTTTCAGAAAGTTTTACTAGCGTGCTGTATGTCAGATATTAAGTAAATATGAGTATGCTAAAAGAAGAAAGCTAGCCTTTGAAACCGGAGATGTATGCCATGTGTTGAATGGCTACCAGCAGATTCTAAATATACCATTTCAGAGTGAATCGAGCACTCCAACTGAGACGATTTCAGAGAGTTTCAGATATCAATGGCTAGCATTTGTTGTTAATATTTAAATGCATGGAAATTCGTTATGAACAGAAAAATATTGAGTGAGAGTGAGAGTGAGAGAGAGAGAGAGAGAGAGGACCTCTTCATCATCTTCATCCCCATCAAAATCCTCCTCATCGCCTTCCTGTATAAGAAACCAATCAATAACTTTGTGTGAAGTTCATTAAATGAGCTATGCGGACAATCCACAAACACAACAACAAATGGCTCACATTATTGAAATATTTCAAAGGATTGGGCCATAGATCTTCCTTGATTATCTCTGCCACCTACAGAAGGGTATAATAGCAGGAGTGAGGGGCGGGGTTAACAAGTGCAACATCAACAATGATTGAACACTAATGCGGAGTTAACCTACAGAGAGCACCAAATTCATTAAATGAGGAAGCAAAATTAATCACTCATGCTTTAAGTACCAATGTATCAGTCATAAAAGTTACTCCATGCATTAGATGATGTTAATCCAGAAATATACAAGCTTTCTCCGCATAAAACATTTACTGAGAATAAAAAGCTTTAAAAGCGAGGGTACCTTTATGATTGAACGTAGGAATAAAATGAAGGAAACTTACCTCATCCTGGAACCCATCCGACAAGCTTTTCTGCTGAGTTTCCCCGAACCAGGAAAAGAAACTGGATTTTATATAGTACAATGATCAACATCAGATGGGCACAAGGAACAGCCAAACAGAAGAACACAATGCAATTATTGTAGAAAAAACAGAAGAGAACAGCCCACAAGACTCCCGGTTCTCAACATTAGAGGGCAATAACCGAGGGCATTGCTGCAATTAAAAAGGAATAAATGCATATACGCATATTCCACCTTTCTTCATGGAAATTCCGCTTTCCATCTTTGGCTGCCGGAGCAGTTCCATTCGCAATATCCTAGAAGAACTTGAGTGTGAGTCTCCAACGTAACCAAGAGAAGGCAAAATCACAACGACATGGCACATACAACAAAGAGGAACACTTACCATGCCCTCCTTCCATCTTATTCTCGTGCCGGTTATATTGGTTGTTCCTTCATCAAAGAAGTTGAACGTCTTCACAAGCTTCGTGTCCTCAAAGTACAGATTCGGTGAAAACGTCTGAGGCAAAAAGAATAAGTATAGGCTCGTTATCATTGAAAATAAATAGATATGCGCCCCATGATCATGGGAATAGCCCACGAGAGCCAACATACAAAGGTGATGGAATATCCTGACTTCACATCTTTGAAGTCCTCGACATCCAGGGAAGTAAGGTGCTTGAAAATCTAGAGAAAATTTGAGGTGGAGCACGTGAGGATCCAGAAAACAAGAAGATAATCAGAAACTGGTGCCCTGATTGTGTCTCTTCACACCCAGCAACCTTTTGGTCGTCATCGCTGAGAAGATCACCAAGAGCAGGATGGCTTAAGAACTGCAGGAGTCAACTATGATGATCAATTAGAGAAATAACATGACGCCAGAGGGCATTCAAGTGTGTGACATCAATGAATACTGACCGCGGTCAACCAAAAGTCTGGGATTGCTTGGACGATCTCGTTCCTCTTGCTATATATGGGCCTCCGAATCTCATTGTACTTCTGCTCAACCTCTAAAACCTTATCACTTGCTTCCTCGTTGATCTGCGCAGATTTAATCGTTGCAACTATTAAAACCCAAGTAGATCATGATAAGAACAGTCCGCCCGGGAAACTAAACATCGGAAAATTCATTGGATCATATCTCTTCTTCAGTTGATAAATGAAAATTGAACCAACCACGATTACCATCCCTCCACAAGTGGAGCACCTCACAGCCCCTCAGGTTAAAAATTAACAACGTAAAAAAGGAAGAAGAATGACCCATATAAGTTTCCAGAGATCTTAAAGGACTAGAATTGACCGTCCACCAGGAACTACCAGTTTTTCTATATAGATAGAGGCATGACTATATGTAATGACTTGAAATCATCATCCTAGTCGGAGAAAGGGAATGTAGGATCATCCAGCGCCACAGATTAAGCAGACAACCTTTCAGAGGGTGTAGGCCTCGACAGAGAAAAGAAAATCTGCGAGCGTCTGAAACAAAGCTGGGATAACAAATAGGGTTAATGAAGCCTTCCTTCGGCAGCAGCGTATATCAGGGGAGATGAAAGACTCCCAGAAGCTAAAATCCCATTAGAAGACACAAAATCGAAAGGAACGAGGATCTGAAGAACGCATTGATCCATGGGGAGGGCCTGGACCCTCTTGAATGGGGATAATTGGATCCCTTTTATTGGAATGACAAGGAACGAAGATCTCCTAGACGAACATTGAGAGCATTTCAGCCAGAACTCCCGGGAAGAAGAAGAATGGGGAAAGGGGACGTGCAAGATGAAGGGATAGGTAGAGAGGGCGGCGGAGTCCCTCACCTTCTCGAGTTCATCCTGAATCTCCTGAAGCTTCTCGATGGAGAGCACGAGATCCCCGTCCAAATGGTCGTTCTCCTCCCGCGTCCTCTCCGCCACCTTGGCCTTCTTCCCCTTGTTCGTCACCATCCTTCCCTCAACCCAGCGAAAACCCTACCCTTCCTGATTGGGACCCCGCCCAACGGATGAGAGAAAGCTAGACAGAGAAAGGGTCGATGACGGGGCGAGAGAGACAGAGAGAGGTAGGGTTTAGCGCTCCCGCGCTGCAGCAGAAACCATCGAGGGAAGAGTGGAAGAGAGAGAGAGAGAGAGACAGAGAGAGATGGGGCCCACATTGTTAACCCTAAATTCATAGTTCGATCGCATCTGGCCGTGAAATCTGTGGATCTCGGGAAAACCTTCCGAGACCCACGTTAAGAACCACACGTGCACGCTCACACGTGCCGCATCCCTAGCGACAAACCAAAACAAGTAGAAGCCGATTCGAGCCCTTGACAGAAAGAATGTACCGGCAATAAATGCCGAGCTTATGTTCTCTACACCACCCGAAGGTCATTGAGAGAGAGAGAGAGAGAGGGAAAAGGGGTGTCGCCCGTCTTTCCACCATGTTAAATTAAGCTTCGGAGGGGACCGCACGAGAGGGTTTACGGGTGAAGTTGAGCCGAGATTGCTTCTTCCTCCCAGTAGAAGCATCTGCAGGGAAGAGAAAGAGAGAGAGAGAGAGCAAGTGTTTTAGTGAGTGCCGTTGTGGGTGTTGTGCGCCTGAGAAGGAAAATGAAGAAGGCCCACCTTCCGGTTGGCCCTCCTTGTTGGAGGAGATGACGGTAGACTTCCATTCCTCGTATGCCATCCTCTCCATCTTCTTGTGCCGCTTGTAGGCGGGCAGCTGTCAAGAGAAAAGTCCTTACGATGGCATGCTGGAGTAATCGTCCATCTCTTTACAAGGATCAACACCGTCAAAAAAGCTCATAAAAAGGAAAAAGGCCTCAATGATTTCCCATTGGTTCTGGCACGCAAGATTTGGTTCAGCCACTGATTTGCATCATTTCCAGCTATTCCTACGGCTATTATTGACGAATCTGATGGAAACAGAAATTTGACCGAAGCAGCTACTGATCAATCTCTTTCCGGCCATTCCATTCCATTCCATCCCATTCCATCCCCATTGCCAGTGATCCAGCAAGAGGCCCCATTTTTCTCAGAACAATACCAGCAAATGGCAATGAATAAATGAAGCATCGTCCCACCACTTTCCTACAGTCTGCAGTATTGTTTTACGAGAACAAGTGCCGCTCTACCCGATGGAATCCCGATGGGATTGAAGGGTGGGTCAGCATTCTAGTCTTCTTCAACTCCCCATCTGGGGTTGAAGGGAACAAGTTTGAACTACCCCAAATTCAGGATTCCCATTATCTTCCGAGCTTGGGAGTGATGAATTGAACTTGCGACAGAAGAAGAGGGTGAAAGAGGCTTGAAATAGGACATGATTTTCTCCAAAACGAAACACAAAGGCAAACGTAAGATAGAAACTTACCGCGAGTTCGTCATCAACATCCTCAGAAGAGTCCGACACATCACCGTCATCTTCATGTCTCCTCTTCGCGGGCAGAGCATCTAATAGTTCTGTTCATGCGTTTGCCAGGATTCAGAAAAACACGTACGGAAATTCAGTTTTAAGAATACAACCATCTGCTGCTTCAAATAATACGCTCAGTGGGGGATATGTGCATCAAATATTCAGGATGATGTGACTGATGTGCGATAAGAGATGCGCGGTAAGGGAACTTCAATTGACGAATTGAGGAAACTACAGGAAGTGAAATCTGAAGAACGGCTGATTGTGGAGGCTGTGCTGTGCCATTAGTCAACTGAAAGGCTACCTCTGTTGCCCCTGACAGCCTTCGGATCTGCTTTTTCCTTCGAGATCCCAAAGACATCGAAACAGAGATCTTTCATGGAAGTGGATACCTGGAGATAAAGTTACCGCTTCAGAGATACCAAAGCGAATTTATATGATCATTAAAGGGACCTTACAGAAATCAAGAGACGCTCACTTACACTGGTAAACTCTGACTCAGTGGTAGCACAAAGCTCAATCAGCTTCACCTTATCCACCTTTAGCTGTTAAAAGAAGCGAGCGTTTACTAACAGGAACCACAACATGAGGCACCAATGGAAATATGTATTTCCGTGCGTATTAGGAAGAGGCATTGAGATCACCTTGTGTTTTTTAGCACAAAGATAGAACGCAACAGCTGTGAATACTGGTCGACTGAAGTCAGTGTTTGCACGGCGAGAAGGTGGGAGTGCTGTCAGAAACCTGGTCTTGTATCTGAAAGTTCAATGCTTGCATTAAAAAAAATGTAAAAATACAAAAAAAACTATGAACAATAATTGGCGACGCGAGAATAACTGATAAGTGGCAGTTATTTTACAAAAAGAAACACCTAAGCCATTCCTGGTGTTTTCCTCAGAATGTTTAGAGTTTAGAACGAGGTCTGCAAGTTCGCCAGAGGAGACGGAACATCATCTGATTCCAAATTTACAAAAGATAACAATAGTGTGATAATAACAACAGTAATGCACAGAATCAATGCCTGACACGGGCACAAATCATGAAGTTGCCCACATGTAAAAGGGGATCCTCCCCGAAACAAAAGTGGTGCGTATCTCTGCACAGAAGGCCATGCATGAAGCAGGAGCAGTTTGAACAACTGTTGACTCTTCTTCCAGAATCCTTTAGGTTAATATTACTGAGCATCTAAAGGAGTGTGATGCATTTGGTGCCTTAAAAAGTCTCGGAACGTTTGAAAAGGAAGTGGCCGTATAGCATCAAAACGGCAATAGATATTCTCCTGATAAGGGCTATGTGAAACCTTACAGCGATAAACCCTTCTGGACGAAAGGGATAAGCCTCACGCAGCCGAATTGGATCCCTAATTCACGGGCATCGAGTCTCGCCCTATGTCCACCAAAAGGAACGTAAGAATACTCTAACATCCAAGCAGACGAAGTCAACAACAATCGAAAGGAGGTGAAGGGAAAAGAGAAAATAAGACCCACTTGATGCCGATGCTGTTCTGAATCCCGTTGAACGACCTTATGTAGGCTTTCTCCGACATACCGCACATCTTAACCGCGGCCTGTCTGTCAAACAGCACTTGCAACCTGTTGGACGGACACAAAGAGAAATAATTTAGACATGGTTCATTCATCCAAATGGGTGTTCTTTTAGGTCAAAAATAGCACAGGGGATTTGGACGTGGTTTATTCTTCCAAAGGTATAATCCTTTTCCGTAAAAAATAGCACAAGGGTCTAGACACCGCTAATTCATCCAAATCTATGAGTTGTTTTTTATATGAATCACCTAGTAGCGGCGATCTCCAGGCAGATGATCGCCTTGCACACCTCCCCCTGTCAAAGGGAAAAAGATTCAGCCACGGGTAAGTTAGAATCAAGGCGGATATCGGCGAAGGGCAAAGAGGAGAGCGAAATCCAGACAAGGTCCTCACAATCCCCATCACGGAGGAGTCGAACTGGACGTCAGCCTGCCTGCGTAGCTCCTCCGCCTTGCGGATGACCTGCTTTGATCCTACCAGCCCTAGTTTCCCGGCGATGCTGTTGATGTCCATGTCACCTCGCAACCTCCCCCACCCCCAAATCAGCTTGATCTCAGATCAGGTTGGCGACAAAGGGCAGAGGTAAAGAGCGGGGCGAGAGAGAGAGAGAGAGGGAAGGACGAGGGATCTCTAATGGAGGAAGAGGAGAGAAAGGGAGCGAAACTGGCGGGAAATTTTCGAAGGACACGAGGCCAGTGGAGGAGGGGGTTTTACATAAAAGCCCCTGAGAATTAACAGAAACAGCGGGCTAGCGCCGAGTTCTGTAAGAGAGGGCTAGGCCCGTTGACCGCCAATCCCTTTCATTCCCATAACCCCCCTTTGCATGCTCGTCAATGTCTGTCCCCATCGCGATCCTCCTCCGTCCCCCGGGAGTCTCCCAGTGTTCATTTCCAGGCCTCCTCTTGAAGGCCCCCGAAGCTCTCGCTCTCTCTGGACTCTCCCCGTTCATCGCTCTTTCCACATAGGCAGGGTTTTTAGCAGCTAGATGCTTGTGGGGATGGCGGCAACTGCATTGACGCCGGCGAATTCCGCATTCGAGACCTCATTCTCCACTTACCTCGGGGGCCCATGGAGCGCCGCGGCCGAGGAGGACGATGAGGTCGACGTCTTCGGCGCGGAGAAGTACTTCAGCGGCGCCGTCGATGTCGCAGAGCATGGCTCCATGGGCAAGACTCGCTGGAATTCGTCTCCGGGGAAGGAGGTCGCCAGGAAGAATGTTGACGCCCAAATTCCTTGGAGCCCGCCGCCGCCGCCGCCGCCGCCACCGCCGGGAAGAAGAAGGTTCCTGCCCGTGCTGTGCTGCTGCTCCTGGTTGGGGGAATCCTGCGTCGAGATCGGCGGACGAGCGCCGGAGAGGGCGGAGCCAGACGGCGGCGACGGGTTCAACACGAAGCGAATGCACTCCTTCCTCTCCTCGGCCTCGAAGCAAGGGCACGCGGAGGCTCCGACCGGCGGGGAGGAGGTGTCTGGAAAAGGAAGAAAACGGGGGAACTTCGGCTTCGGCGGCGGCGGCGGCGCCACCGCCCGCTCCGAGGTCTGTAGCGAGTCGAGCTCGGAGCTGTTCGAGATCTCTCTCTCCCTCTCTCACTCCACGTCAAAAGACCGGAACTTGGATCACCCCCCCGCTTACTACAAACCCAGTTATCCCTAAATATCCAGTTCATACTTTAAATCTCAAGACTCAAGCCTTTTTCGCCAGAGCCGATCGCCAGAATCAAACTTTTCTTTTGCCGGCCTTGAACCTCAAAACTGTATACGAGTAGAAGAGAGCACGCCCGGAATCTCCAACACCATTCTTCTTGCCAACCCAAGCTCCTGTTTCTTGTGGACTGCACTGTACCAGTTGCCCCTGAGAACTTGTATTCTTTGTGGATCTTCATATTCGAAGAACGCGATACTAATTAAACAAGATTATTAATTACTATTTGTACGATATTCTATCATATTTCTCAAAAGTTACCTGCTTCAGATTAGTTTATTTCTGGGTAATTTGGGTTCAGGGAAAATGCCCCAAAATAGGGCCATCGGAGGTATAGTCATAACCTTAAGAAATGGGAAAAAAAGGATAATTTACTTTGATAATTTTTATATTTGAATGTCAAAATCATTTAAATTTTAAAATACTTTGTTAATTAGGCCCCCCCAGACTATTTTCACCCGTCATCATTAGGGTTGAGCGATCAGAAATGGTGATCAAATGACGGTATGGCTGTGGCTGGTTCTGTCCTTTTGCGTAATTATTCATTAATACCATTATTGTCATTAATGAATATGATGAAGAATGGTGCAGCAGTTTGAAGATGGAAGCAACGCTGGCGGCGTCGGAATTCTCGCTTGGAGTTGAACGGTGACAGCGGGCTCTGGTGGCTGTGCTTTTTTAAACGAGAGGGAGAGAGAGAGGATACTCTCTCACGTCGGAGTGCTCATATTGAATGTGAGCATTTAATCATTGCGGGAGTTGAACTGGAATGATCCAACAAGGCCTCTGAGTTCTGCAACTTTGACGATTCAATGCACAGTTACCTCTCCTTTTGCTTTTCATCAATTTCGCACCGCAAGTGATATAATTATTTATATATATCTAGCTATAGAGAGAGAGAGAGAGAGAGAGAGAGAGAGGTGTAAATATACATGTACAAAGAAAGATGAAGTCCAACATCTAAATGACTTTATTGTGAGAATCACGATGATCAGTTGGTTCTTTAGTTCTTGAATATAAAGACATAGATAAGATAGACAAGGAGACGGAGAGAGCGGCCACAGTGACAAGGTAGGTTATGGTCCAAAGGGCAACTTAAGCCCAGCTTAGAGTGATAAAATAGAAAAACGAATGCGTAGAGAAAGAGAAGCAGACGGATGGATAGATAAATAGATAGCGAGAGGGGTGAGACCCTAAAATTTCGGTGGGCCAGGTTTTATGACCCAAAGTGCAGCTTAAAGTGGAGACCAATTATATATATATATATATATATATATATATATATATATAATAGAGGGAGAGCGAGAGAGAGAGAGAGTTGCAGCAGGAGCAGCAGCAAGTGGCTGACTGCACCAGCCCATCTGCCAGGTAACCCAGTCGCTGGGCGAGGCTACGTGGCCCTGATGGACCAGGGACTGCCGTTCCTTCCGGCCGACATCCCCACCGGGGTTGTTCTCTGGCGGCCGGCCACCGCAATTGATGCGGTTGGGATCCACGTACGACGCTCCCCGCGCGACACTAACGCTGCAGGCATTCCACCACAGCTACGAAGGACGCCTTTCCTCAACAGCATGGAGTCCGGAGAAACGTCTGCCTCAACAGAAGGCTGATTCCGGTTGAAAGGCTGCTTCTTATTGACCCAACTCTGGACCACGTCTCCCTCCACCCCCTTCCCCCTCCCGCCCCCTCCCTCTCTCTCTCTCTCCCCATCAATCCATTATCTAGTCATTAATGTTCTAGGTTTATTAGTCCACCTATCATTTTATCTACTCATCTCTCTCTCTCTCCCTCTATCTATCTATCTATCTATAGAATCCATTTTTCTCCATCTCGAGCTGTCTGTAGCCATCTACGCATGTTGTCATCTCTCTCCCTCTCCCTCTCTCCTTCCAAATACAGTGGTAGAGAGAGAGAGAGCAATAATAGTAAGGGGGAGGGGATTCAGCTAGAGATGAACAATTATCTCTTTGGATAATAGCCCACTCCACTTGGGAGACTACTGACCCAATTATTACCAATTAAGGGATTTAGTCCATGGTAGCCCTGCTACAGAATTGGGTGGTGGGGGGAGAGGAAGCTGAAGGAGATTTAACAGATAACAACTAATAATCTTAGTTGGGTGTTACCTCTCTCCCAAATCTCGATCATAACTAGTTAAGGGTCTTAGTTCTTAGTAGTCACCCAACATTGCAGGAGAGGCAGAAACTCATAATGAAGATCTAGAGAGTTGGGGTTGACAAAAATAGTCGCAAAGAAACGTGTAAGGTAGTAAGTAGATAAGGAATGGGGATAAAGAGCCAGAGGGAACCACAAGCCTAAGTACAAGAGAGGAAGATTGTCCTGTTGGGAGGGATCCAACCACAACAAATACATAAGATTTTTAGGAGAGTTTGGTCTTGCTTACATCTACTCTCCATTTGGATGATGCTAATTTCATCTCCTTGAATCCAATGTTCCTATGTACCCTAAAAGCTGAACTTTTGATTCAGCCAACCAGTCACTAATAAAGATGCCAGCTGATCTAACAATCATGTTATCTTGGGGCAAAAATATAATAATGAAGGACAGGTTTAAAACTTGGGAACCAGTAGACATCAAGCCATCCCTGTGATCTGTTTTCAATGGGTTTTAAGTGTTCCAAGCATACTACCAAGTGGCCCTTATAATTTGAAATTATCATAAAATATTCACCACGACTTTGAAATCATTCTTGAATGTTCTCATTAAATTCTTTTAAGGCGCAATAGATGGATTCATGAATTTTTTTTATTGCAAAAGCTATTATCGTGTAAAAGATAGCTAGCTACATTTAGCTTGTTTTCAGAAATAATTTAACTCATGCAATGAGGGCAATGACAAGTGGTGTGAGATAGCTTTCAATGTACAAGGTAAACATTGAACTACATGTCTAGATATTGCGGCTCTCTTCTAAGGTTAGTATTACAAATGGCTTTGAGCTAATTTCTCTCAATATAATTTTCTCAAAGACAACTTTGATAAACAATCCAAATAATGATTGTTTCTGAATTAAAATAGTATTTTCTTAAACTAAACATGTCTCATTAAATTATATTCAGGTTTATTTGAATATACCTTTAAAAATTAAATCCGATTGGAATGAGTGTGCTAAATGATAATGTTTTATTTATATATAATAATTGAGGTGAAATAAAAGTATTTTTTGCATGAATTAATATAAAATGTGAATTATTTAAGTTAAAAATATTAGTACCAATTTGAGAGTGATGTGATGAATATATGTTTAATTTGTGAATTTCTATGGTTTATGTGAAATGAATATATTTAAAATTTTAATCAATGTGCTAACATACTTATTCAAGGAAATTACTCATGAAGTAAAATTGGAAAAAATATTTATCTTGGATTTTTTAGGAAATTTATGAAAACTTTTAAGCCACTTTTCAATTATTTAGAAAGTACCAAAATAATGAGAACAAAATGCATCAAGTCATGGCCACATCATCACAAGGATACATCAAGGGTTTATGGGCCAAGTCAGCATTTTTGGCCAATGTCAATAGCTTATGCCATCTCATTGATGTATATGTCATCTTCCATGCTATATCTTTGGGCAGTGAAATAGATAGGAAAAACTCTGGATTTCATGATGAATTTTGAGATATTTTTGCATGAAAGTTGAAAGGAAGGTTGAGGGCAAATGCAAGAAGCTTTCTAGATGATAAAACGCGGAAGATTGGGAGAATTTACAAGCTTTTTGGGCTGAGTTATCTTCGAGTGATAGGTGGAGAGGAGAGGAGCAACATTGGGTACTTCAAAATTGGGTTGAGTACTTAAAAATTTGATTTCTCTTTTTATTATATTTTATTTTCATTATTTATTAATTTGTCATTTGGGTGATGGGTAGCTGACAAGATTAAGGCTTTTTGATATTTGTTTATACTATTTTTAAGATGATTTTGCATTCATTTTCTTGTACTTGATTTTCAAGTGACAAACAAGCAAAGCAACAGATGGTGTTTGCAAGTTAGATTTATGTTTCCATTTGATTTTATTTTCTTTTTAGCATATTTCATCATTTGGGTGATAGAAAGACAACGAGATTAAGCATTTTAATCAGCCTTTTTATCACTTTTTAATCACTTTTTCAATCCATTTTCTTATTGTAATAATACTATATTCCTAGGTGATAGATATAGACAATTTAATGATTTTATTTCATTTTTTACTTCTTCTTGCTGTGATTTTAATATTTTTGATGAAAGTCACCTGTGTTAAGATCATCTTGGTATATTTACTTCGAAATATTACTTAGTTTTTATCAAGATTTGACTCAAAATCATTTTCACATTGCACCACCGGTGGTCATATTTTCTCTCTCCTCTTTTATGTTTCCCCATTTTAGGTGTATTTTCCATCATTTTTTTTATTTTTTCTACCATTTTCTCTAGAATATTTTGTAGGTTTTGAGTCATTTATCAATTATAATTGTGGGAACACATCAAAATTCAAATATTTAGAGCTCAAGCAATTTGAAATATTTAAAATAGAGAGAAAATTATTTTATTTTATATTTATTTATTTATTATATATTTCAATAATTTTTTTATAATGAAAAGAATCATATTGACATTGACCATCATCTTTGTGGATGACCTAAATTCACCAAAATATAATTTTAATTCTTATCTTGAGTTCAGTTTATAAATATTTAAAATTTGATCATTTTTTTTACAACAACTAAAGTGATATCAATAAATCAGTCATTGACTAGGTGATAAGTCTTTATTATCATAAGTTAATAATTAATAAATAGTATAGTTTTAGTTTTAATTCATGATAAATAGATTTATATTTATGTTAATTTGTGAAAATGATTTTTAATTGGTTAATGTGATTTTTTTGACTAATTATATAATTTTATATGAATTTGTATGATTTTTATAATCTTATTTTTGAGATAAATGAAGAAAAAGAAAATAAAAAAATAAAAAGGAGGGGACTCACCGGTCAATCGGGCCCACAAGCTGGTCGGAAGTGTAGTCAAGGCGAAGTCGTGAGCAAGGGTTCAAGCAGCTATAGACTGATGGAGGCATGTGTGCGTCATTCCCCTTCCGCGTCATTAGTGGCCAACCGATTGTGGGGTAAGGAGTAGTCTTACACACATGAGAAAGGGATTCATTGATTCCCAAAACTCATGTTACCATATATGCATCTCAACATTCGACATATAACGATGTGGGATTAAATCGGCAATCACACCTTCCTAGACTATTTTTAATAATTTTAATACCTAAATTACCCCTTATTTATAACAATGATATACTATGATGATGTCACTATATAAGGGTATTCAAGTACTTATTCACTCTCTCTCATACAGGCGGGTGACCGACGTAGATTCAAATCCTTCCAAAGCCAAAACTTATTTCTTTTTACTTGATTAAATCACGATTTATCTATAGATCGCTGGTGAAAGATTAAGCTGCCAAATCACTTAATCATCGGCAAAAATCTCACCAATACAATTTGCGAAGCATCATTACTAAAATTGTTGAACGATTCACGATAAAAAGATTGTGAATCTATCAAGTAAATCATCTCCGATTGATTGACAAAAAAGTTATGGTCGCGAAGAAGATGATCTGTCACGAGATGAGTCGCTA